TAGGACCCAGGAGAGCGTGGCTCTAGGAGGAAACCAGTAAACCCTGCCAAGAGACTTACATGGTCCCTTTCCCAAATATAGTAAAGTTTTGGGTCTGGAGGCAGATGGGTGACTAAGGGAAGACAGAGAAACCAATGTTAAATCTGCCCGCAAAAAAACCATTTGTGCTACGCAGTGGATAATGCTTGATTTGACAAGGCCAAATGCCTGGAAAAGAGCTTTCTGAAGGCAACAGGAAGCAGGCCACTATTAGTTAAGAAAAGGTTTTTAAAACTATAGGGGGGAGGGGAGGGCTAAATTCATTATACCTTTGCAGCATAGTATTATGAATGGTGTAGCTGGAAATGTATTTTCCTCCTCTCTCTCATATTTCTAACTTGAAGTCACACACTGATGCTGATTGACTATAGGCTCGGGACTAACAAAAGGAAGCATTTCTTCACATGCTAGGGCATTAACCTATGGAACTTACTGCCACGAGGTATTGTGGTGGCCACCAACTTGGGTTGCTGTTCTGAAAAAGCTTAGATAAATGGAATCCAGGTCTATCCATAATTATGAATTAGGGCTGCTACTCAGTTAAAGGCATACGCCACTCCAAGCACTTTTTTCTCAACAACCTGTGGGATTGGGAAAAGGCTCACTATCCCTATTTTAAAAGATGCAGATATATATAACAGGCATCATCTTAGAAGAGGCTTACTTCCTACGTATGAAAGAAGAGGAAATGCCTCTATTGTGGTTTTCGTCACCTGCAGTTTCTGTAAGCACATTTGTTAAAAATTGTGCATATGTACCTGCGCTTGATTTTACTCGGAGCCCTTTCAGACAATTAAATTCTCATTGATTACTCTCTAGAGACAATGAACTGATGGAATGTTTCACATAGCTAAACTGCCACTAGAATCTTCAGCTATAGAGGCAGGCAGCCTCCAAAGGCCAGAGACTAGAGCATCCAGCTAGCAACTTTTAGAAGAAAAAAAAAAAGCTAAACAAGGTGGCCTTTGGAGTAAGTGATTCCAGAGCAAGGCCCTTCTTTTGCAAATCCCAGAACAGTTGCAAACAAAGAAGAATAAAACCTGGCACTACAAAATTAGCAGTGCAATCCAGTATATTTCTTCTCAGATGTCACGGGGTTCAATTGTACTTACTCCCGGGTTTGTAGGCCAAGGCAATTTAAACACTTGTGGCAATTTAACTCTCCTCTTCATGGCATAGCAGGGAGAGGTAGCCTCGTTTATCTATCAAGGGTTGACACTGCCAATTTTAAATGAGTCAATGGATTACACTAAAGACTCGCACTGTGCATTGGTGTGAGATGTACACTCACAGATAGATTGAAGCAAACACTTGCCTCAGTATACAGTGACATTTGCAGTTACTGTGCATCAGACATGAAACATAACTTGTTAGAAGCAGCTGTTTCCCCATAGCCACCCCCACAGCTCACAGATCTGCTTCTGAAAAAAAGAATGACACTGGGTTCACAACACACAATGAAGAGTGGGGGCATTTGTCTGAATCTACAGGCTCTCCTTATCAAACAGTAAAGGTAAAGGGACCCCTGACCATTAGGTCCAGTCACAGACAACTCATCTCAATTTACTGGCCGAGGGAACCGGCGTGTAGCTTCCAGGTCATGTGGCCAGCATGACTAAGCTGCTTCTGGAGAACCAAAGCAGCGCACGGAAATGCCGTTTACCTTCCCGCCAGAGAAGGTACTTGCACTTTGACATGCTTTTGAACTGCTAGGTTGACAGAAGCAGGGACCGAACAATGGGAGCTCACCCCATCACAGGGATTTGAACCTCCGACCTTCTGATCGGCAAGCCGCGTCCCTCCTTATCAAATACATATGTGCAAATCTCTCGCCTACCCTCCAGGTCATATCTTTTTAGGTATTGCTTAAGGCTGTAATCCTATGTACACTTACTAAGGAGTAAGCCCCAGTGAATTCAACAGGAACTCCTCCTGTTCTGAGTGAACCTGGATAGGATGAGGCAGTGAGGATTTTCCTGCCAACTGAACTTTGCACAAATTTTTGGTGGAATTTCAGTAAGCTTGTCTTGTGCTGGCATCAGAAAGCAGGAGTGTTAATCAGAGGCACTATTTGGGTCAGATTACAAGGGGCAGGTTTGGGAATCCCCAACTGCAGGACGGTCCCAAACGATTCTGTAGCAGCAATTGCTGCAACATCTTCCTTAAAATTTCAAAAAAGCATTTTACAACATAGGCATGCTACTCCTGAATAAAGTTCCAGAAAATACCTAGAGGCCGGCCACATAGGTCAAAGAAAAAGTGAGCTTGTGCCTTGAACACAGGGTATTCAGGAATTAACCAGTGAAGATTTCCCACCGCTACCCTCAGCAGCATGGAAAAAAGCATGATCACTGTTTATCCCTTGCAAACAAAGATGATGCAGAGGGCAGTAAACAAACTGGCAACTCTCGCACCCACTCGTCTCCTTCTCTCCACCCCCATTCTGAAATGGAAACCAAGACCTGCCAGCAAATGGGTACAGTGAGTCAGGCCTGGTGTACTTATGATTTCCAGCCAAGATAATGTATCTGAAGCATCCCTGCCAGAGCTGGCTTACCTGCCATGTAGGGAGAAAGCAGCACTGGCAACCATATTTGGCTAATTGTTTTGAGTCTTCAATTCATGCTAATGCACACTGTGTACTTTTGCTTCTGGCCTGACCAGCACCCTTTGTGATCAAAGGATGACTGTGATCAGAAGGCATTCTAGCAGCCTCTGTAGCCTCCTCCTGGGGCATCTTTGATGCCTGCACAGTTTGTAAGGACTGCTAGCAAGGGTGCTTGCTGGAAGCACTACAAGAGCCTAGGCCAGCCATCTCTTTGTGTTCAGTCTTCTTCTTCCTGGGTGATCACTCATAGCCAAGTAAGATTGTTTTCCATGAACATGGTCTTAACAGTGAATCCGTAAGTGACTGTGGAGGCCAATTCTGGATCCACATGTCCTTCCACAGTGGGGACATAGGTTTCCAGGCGGAAGTTGATCACGGTGAGGGTTTGCCAAACGTGCCTTCCTCTTAGCTCATTTCTCCCTTTCATCCTGAGTTCGAGCATCTTCAAAGTCCACGACACCTTCCGTAAAGGCTGTTCTCCAACTGAGATCAGTGTTTCCCAGGTGTCAGTGTTTATACTAGATTTTTTTTTAGATTTGCCTTGAGAGAGTCTTTAAACCTCCTTTGTTGACCACCAGGAATTATTTTTTCCATTTTTAAGTTTGGAATAGAGTAGTTGCTTTGGAAGACAATAATCAGACATCCAAACAGCATGACCAGTCCAACAAAGCTGATGTTGAAGAATCATTGCTTCGACACTGCTGATCTTTGCTTCTTCCAGTACACTTAATGTGTATGCATAGATTTAGAATCTATACCAGTGGAGGCTGGCCCCCTAGGACAAATGGGGCACTGCCCTACCAACCTCCGTCTATCCTCAGCCAGACCCTGCCTGTCTGCCTTCTTACTTAACAAGCAGTCCAAGGGGTGACACAGCCTATCAGCTTCCTCTTCCTTAGTCTCAGCAGTGAGTGCTCTGGTAGAATTCAGAATGGAAGATGGGGAGAAAACTGAAACTGATGGACTCTGCTTCTCATTTGCTGTGACTCTACTTACTGTTTGGGCTTCCTGCCTTCCACTCCACCAGTCCCAATGGGCACCACCCATGAAGAAAGTTGGGGTTTCCTCCCTGCCCCAGGTAAGAGCTCATAGGCTTCTTACAGCTGTGCAACAGGAAAATATTCGGCAATTGTTTTTCTTAGGAAGGTAATGCCCTGATAGGTAAGCATTTCCCCCTTTACATGCTGTCTCTTAATATTGTTTTATAGGTACAGAATACCTAACTACTTTATGCCTGTTAGAAGAAGGGTCATGTAGCAGCCTGCTTGCATAGGACTTACAACCTTTGCGTTGGCTTCTGCTGTTGTCCCTTTAATTACTGGGCTGGCCCTTCCATGAGGCAACATGCTGTAGCTGCCTCAGGTGGCAAACTTCAAGGGGTGGAAAGTGGTTAGAAATGTGTGCCCTGTGTTCTGCTCTGCAGCCCCTAAGCTTGCTTGCTGTCCAAGGGTGCGGTAGAGGACTTCATTCAATCACCAATTGTGGAGTAAGATTCAACTACCAGTCTAATCAGATTTTGTGCATGGCATGGGAAATGCACCATCTTGCCCATTACCTCAGGCAGCAAAATGGCTTGGGCCACTCCTGAGGTCTTTGAGCTACAGGTAGTCATGATGAATCCCACTGCGGATGATTTCTGCAGATCAACCATCTGTTCTTCCTTGCAAGCTAAGGTTGGTTTTCAACAGCAAGAGACAAGAACAGGCCAGACTTTATTTTCTGGCCAGCTGGCAGCCCCACAACAGATAGGTACATGGTGAGAAGCCAGTATTTGTAAGTTGCGTTCAGTTTACTTTTTGTAAAATAAAAAAAGTGAGCAACTTCAATTAGAAAAAATAAGAATAAGAGAGTGCTGGGCTTGTTCTGGGAGACCAGGGTTTGAATTCCCACTCATTCACGAAGCTCACTGAATGATCTTACACCAGTCACAGTCTCTCAGCCTAACCTACCTCATAGGGTTGTTGTGAAGATAAAATGGGGAGGAAGAGAACCATGTATGCCACCTTAAGCTCCCTGAAGGGAAGGTGAGGTATAAATGTGATATTAAAATAAGCAACACAAGAAAATGAAAACTTTCCTCTCTGGCTCAAGGTACGATTTCAGCCAGGGATGCGTCATTCTTTGCCCTCCAAGTGTTGTTGGGAACCAACTCCTATCAGCCCCCCAGCCAGCATTGCCAATGGCCAGGGATGATGGGGACTGTAGTCCCACAACAGAAGAGTCACACATTCTGTATCCCTGCATTAAATGAGTCTATATAGGAGGCTGCTAATCATACCATTGGTTCATCTAGCCCAGAATTCTCAACACTGACTGACAGTGGCTCTGTATGGTTTCAGGCAGGAGTCTCAATCAGTCCTACCTGGAGATTCAACCTGGGACCATCTGCATGCAAAGCAGGTGCTGTACCACTGAGCTACAGCACTCGAATTTAGAAAAGGGGACAGTGAGAACTGTAGTTTGCAGCGTTGCTTAGCGCCAAATGGTCCTGTGCCAATAGAAACCAGGATCTGATGCTTACTTGTAACACATCTAAAAGGCTAAGCTAAACTTTAACCAAGCCCCTTGTTCTCTCCCTCCTGCCTTCAGCAGACTAGAGGCAGATCTCCGCTTTCAGCACCCCAAGCCCTTATCAAAAGCTGCCTTTCCATTTCCTTCCCCAGTGACTAGCCAGGCCACAGTTACCCTCTGATGCCAGTCTGTTCTTGTTTGTATGCAATTAGTTCTGCTGGCTTTATTATCATGACCAGCCAGAGTTTGCAAGGGGGCAGGGAGGAAACACTGAGGAGAAGGCACAAGTATTTAAAGAGATTGTGCCAAGCACTTGTGTCTTTTACAACTATACAACAACCTGAAATCCTAACAGGTACTATTTTATGTAACAGTGATGGGTTGAGTGTCCCCAGGGCTTTTTTCCCAGCCAGAACTCACTGGAACTCAGTTCTGACACACCCCAGGTGGGTGCCATTGCCCTTCTAAGAGAACAAGGGAGGTGTTTGTGGTGAGTTCCGGCACCTCTTTTTCTAGAAAAATAGCACTGAGTGTCCCCATCCTTGTGCAGCTGTTTCAAGGCACAGGGGTGTGTGTGTGTGTGTGTGTGTGTGTGTGTGTGTGTGTGTGTGTTTCTAAGTGCAATCCTAGCTTGAGTGCATTTTAATTAAATAAAAGGGTTTCAAGGAAATTGCTAAATGTTATTCTTCAAAAGCTGTTTATTCTCCTTAATTTCTGCTGGTAGCTTTGAAACTTCTTGATTCTGTACCCTAACTAGCATGAGTTCATAACAAGAGCAGATACAGTGGTACCTCGGGTTACATACGCTTCAGGTTACAGACTCCGCTAACCCAGAAATAGTACCTCGGGTTAAGAACTTTGCTTCAGGATGAGAACAGAAATTGTGCTCCGGCAGCGCGGCAGCAGCAGGAAGCCCCACTAGCTAAAGTGGTGCTTCAGGGTAAGAACAGTTTCAGGTTAAGAACGGACCTCCGGAATGAATTAAGTACTTAACCTGAGGTACCACTGTAATCAGAAGCAAGTCATGCTGGATGGCAAAGGTCAGGCAGGGGGGTGTGGCTTGGCCAAAATAGCTCAGACAGTAAGAGCATGAGGCTCTTAATCTCAGGGCTGTGAGTTCCAGCCCCACATTGGGCAAAAGATTCCTGCATTGCACAGGGGTTGAACTAGAGGCCCCCAGTGGCCCCTTCCAACTCTACAATTCTATGATTCTATGAAATGGTGGCATAGACTATAGGGAAAGCCATACTAAACGGTGGTGTGCAGTCATTGGGCAAGAGGGACTTAATGTTTCCCTGGTGCCTCCTTCCCAAAGCTTCTTCCCTGCTTAGAGAAGGAGGAGCAATGCTCAAGGGAACAACGTCATCCTCCCCCCCCCAAAAAAACCTCCTTTGCAAGCTAGTGCCTCTGGCCCTAACTGTTCCCCTATGAAAAATGTCACCGCACGCCACCGATACATACTTATAAATATAAATATCACACGGGTGAAGATATAGAGACATTCATTCCGAAATGTCACTTAAAGCACACACACACCCCGCCGCCTCCATCCTGTATTTGTAAATTGAATGAAAAATGCACACTGTTGAAAATGTGTGTTCTGAGTATAAAACGACTATTCTATTTCACTTTTTATACCGCATTAATGATGTTCACAAAAGTTTCATGATCTGTGTTAACATGCTTCATCAGAAGTAAGTCCTACCATTCAGAGGGAGTTTACTTCCTGGTAAATCAAATGCTGCTAATAAAGATGGCTAACTTCCTTCCTTCCTTTCTTTTTCTTTTCTTTCTTTTTTTTTTTTTTAAGGGCCCTGCCCTTTAATGACAGCCTGACATGCAGAAATGTAACAGGTGAGGCATTTCCCTGCCATTGAGATGAAGTGGTGGAAGATGGTCCACGGGTTTAATTGCTCCATCTTGGGCTAGTCTTAGAGCATGGGTAGGCAAACTAAGGCCCGGGGGCCGGATCCGGCCCAATTGCCTTCTAAATCCGGCCCGCAGACGGTCCAGGAATCAGCGTGTTTTTACATGAGTAGAATGTGTCCTTTCATTTAAAATGCATCTCTGGGTCATTTGTGGGGCATAGGAATTCATTCTTTTTTTCTTCTTCAAAATATAGTCCGCCGTCCGCCCCACAAGGTCTGAGGGACAGTGGACCAGCCCCCTGCTGAAAAACTTTGCTGATCCCTGTCTTAGAGAGCCCCCAGGGTCTGGCAACTTCAGACATAGCCTGTTCCCTTTTTGTCATGTTAATTTTGACAAACCTGAGCTCTTCCTATTCGTTTTTGATGTCTCACCTGGCACAAGAACAAATGGGCAGGCCTTGCCTGTCATCAGCAGTCCTCTGTCTTCGATCTTCAAGAAAACCAAAAGATGTTTGAGAGTGCTGGGGAAATGCTTTAAAATGTTTGAAAAGTCTTAAAAGGATGCCTGCATGAAGACAGCCAACTATACCCCAGAAATACTCACATGTGACTGTCTCATCTCTGAATCCATTCCACAGCAGGTTGCCTCTAAGGAATGACCAGTGGAACATGAAAAAGAGGCTCTCTCTTTTTCATCTAAACTGGTTAACAGCCAAGCAGCTTCTGTTATCACCTAAGGATGCAAATTCTACCATGGAGCGTATCCCTGGGCAACTGTTCCCATGGAAACCTGGTCTCACATCACAAAGCCAGTTCAAAGGTCCAGACAATAGGTCTCCCGAGGAAACTATGGTTGGTATCTGCTGCTGACTACTCAAGTGTAAATTGACAATAACTGTGCTTGCTTTCATGAGGCTCCTCTGGATCAGCCTGAGAGTGGATTATTATAGCTGTACACTTGTGTAAACGAGAGACTGTTGAACTTGAGATGCTTATCTCAATGCTCCCAGCTAAGAGGTCCAGCTGTGTAACTTGATGCGTGCTCAGCCAGCCAGCCAGCCAAATAAAGGTCACCAGCGAACTAACACCGCTTCTCCTGTTCTAATCATATATTGAGCAGTCTTGGTTGCACGCAAACCAACCAAGCGTCAAGTTGCATCTAAGTTACTAATAAATGTAATGTAACATACTACTTTAGTGCACCACAGTTAGGCTTGGGGAAGAAATTAGTTTGGTTTACAATTTAATGTGAGCCTACATCCAAATCCAGGGTACACCTGCTTCAGCTCAACCAGACATCTTCACTGCCCCTGCTACAACAAAGCATGTCTCTCCCATTTCGGTCTCTACAGCCACAGCAGGCGCTGTAACTCTCCAACGGTTCGACTTCAGCCCCGAAGTTGCGCTCTTCCACTGTTTCCAGAGACAGGTGGATGCCAATCAACTTTTAAACTGAAAAAAACTATCCTTCCAAAATCACATTTCTGGGCCTATCTGCATGCAGTAAGTAAACAGTTGTATGATGTAATGTTTTTCAAAAAGAATTTTTAGCTGCTTGTATGCACCTTTGGCCATATATTGCTGATATTGGAGACGGGGTGTGTGTGTGACAGAGAGAGTGTGTGTGTGTGTGTGTGTGTGTATTTCCTTCCCACACTAATGGTGGATTGTGCCTGAATTGAGAAAAGTTGTGTGGCTGTTGTCACATCCCTTAGGTACCTTTCTTGTTCCTCCAGCCAGGAAAGGTTTGTGTTATGAATATGCACATTTGAGTTAGCATTTTCAGAGCTTTTTTCTATTTCATTTTTCATTTAATGCCTGCTGTTCAAGAATTCTAATCTTGTGGGAGTTTAGGATATCAGAAGGGAAATTACGGTATGCGCCTGCCTGACCTATGGCAAACCTGGTTATTTGTAATGTAATTTTGTCTGCAGTTAACAACAGCTATCATGAGCAGTACTTTGACCTAATACCATCATCTCTGTCTGCTACATCTCTCCTCTGGAATGAGCTTGCAAAATGACAGCCCACATGAGTGAGAGGGAGGTTGCAAGTAATAGACACTCCCAAAACACACCCACCAATCCTCAACCCCTACACACAAAAAGCAGGACAATGTTTGTATACATGTCACACAAATGAAAAATAGTGAGGATCCATTCCAACAAAGGTCAGTAGAAAATAAAGCAGGGGTGCTTTTTTTAGTACATTATTCTGGAACAGAAGCTGACTAATGATTACATAGTCTGGTAGCATGTCACTATTATTATTTTTAAAAAGACCCCAACAACTATACCATTACAAATTTCAATTTTGTGATACTACAAAAATGTGTAACAAAAATGGTTGCATTAGGGGAAGTGTGCATTAAAACTTCACGTATTACTGAAAATACCCAAAAATGTTTTTATTAGGATGAATTAGCATTAAGATGAAAACAAATTTTGGAGAGGACTCCTTGTTAAAAACTTGCAAACTGATGAGGAAATGTGAACAACTGAAATTGGGGGGAAATCAAGGAATGGAGAGAACTCAAAATCAAAATTTCCAAGCTACAGCATGAAGCAGTCTTCAAAAATTGCTAGTGACAAAACTTCTTTAAAAGTATTGTCACTGTGCTCATGAGGTCTGGAATCATTTTTTTAAAAAAATATTGAAAGTGCCATGAACACCACCTGGAACATGTATGTATTGTAAATGGCTCAGAAACTTTGGTTGGTCCAGACTTTAAACTGGGAGGACTGAGCACACAACATTACATCTGTACTTTGCCAGCTGCCGGACTCCCAGTCTGATCCTAGGCCAAATTTAAAGAGATGGCTTGGAACCAGGGTACCTAAAATAACACCTTCTCACTGGCAGGGCCTATCCCAAGTCACAATGCGGCTTTAGAGCTCAGAGGTCAACCGTCAAGATTTCTTAGATGAAAATAGGTGCATCCCATTCCATAATGATAATTTTACTATTTATAACCCGTACATCTTACTGGCTTACTGGCTTGCCCCAGCCACTCTGGGCAGCTTCCAACATACATAAAACACAATAAAACATTTTTTAAAAAATTAAAAAACCCAACCCTTCCCTATACAGGATTGCCCTCAGACAGCTTGGGGGTCAAATAACTCCATACCCTCCAACATTTCTCCAATGAAAATAGGGACATCCTAAGGGACGCAGGTGGCGCTGTGGGTTAAACCACAGAGCCTAGGACTTGCCGATCAGAAGGTCAGCGGTTCGAATCCCCACGATGGGGGGAGCTCCTGTTGCTCGGTCCCAGCTCCTGCCAATCTAGCAGTTCGAAAGCACATCAAAGTGCAAGTAGATAAATAGGTACCACTCCGGCGGGAAGGTAAACTGCATTTCTGTGCGCTGCTCTGGTTTGCCAGAAGCGGCTTGGTCATGCTGGCCACATGACCCGGAAGCTGCACGCCGGCTCCCTCGGCCAATAAAGTGAGATGAGCACCGCAACCCCAGAGTCGGTCACGACTGGACCTAATGGTCAGGGGTCCCTTTACCTTAAGGGAAAGTGGGACATTATGGGATCAAATCAGAAACCAGGATGGCTTCTCTAAATCAGGAATGTCCCTGGAAAATAGGGACAGTTTGGAGGGTCTGTCAACATGATTTACTCATAGCTGCAGGAGAAAAGGTAAGATGCCCCTTGTTCATCACCTTCACAGACCTGATAAAGGCCTTTGACCCTGTCAGCTGAAAAGGACTCTTCACACCGCTCAGCAGTTTAGGATGCCCACCTAAGCTCCACAAGATTATTGTGTCCTTCCATGGAAACATGCATGGCACCATCCAGTATGATGGTTCATCCTCAGGTGCCTTCCCTATAAAGAGCAATGTGAAACAGGGCTATGTTCTCATCCCAATTCTCTTTAGCATATTCTTGCCCCTATTGGTCTCCTGTGCCTTCACCTCAACTGAAGACGGTGTGGATTTCCATTCAAGGGGCAACTGGGATCTTGAACAGAACAGAACAACTTGGGATGTCTCCATGCTAAGATAAAAGTATGTCAGGTTCTTATCACATGGCAGGACAGAGTCTCAAACAAATATGTGCTCTTCCAAGTCCACATTCCCAACATGCTCCCACTTCTGTCTCAGCAAGGTCTATGCTGGCTTGATCATGTACACAGAATGGAAGATGGCAGAATCCCAAGGATGTGCTTTGTGGAGAGCTGACATCAGACACCAGGCCCATTGGCAGACCAACTCTACATTATAAAGTTGTCTGCAACATGACATGAAGCCTGGTAACATTAAACATCCCCCCTCTCCACTGTGTAGGAGTCACTTGCAGAAGACTGCTGTGCCAGGAGACAGACAGTCAGGCCTTGTATCCACAGAAGTGATCAGAGGAGAAATGACCGCTAGGTGGAGCACAGAGAGAAGAAAAGCCATGGTGCATCTGTAACAGCAAAACTGGATGCTTTCATCTGTCCCAGCTGCAATAAAATGTGTCTCTCCCATACTGGTCTCTACAGCCACAGCAGGTGCTGTAATTCTCCAACCACCTCAGATGGCACACTCTTCCATTGCCTCTTGAGACAAACAGATGCAAACACCTTGCCCAAACCTATGGATGCTCTTCAGAAGTGCTGTTGCATGTGGCCCCTGCCAAATGAAGTAAGGTAGGTAACATGTAGGGCATGTAGGGTGTGGAACCTTTTCCAACCCAAGAGACAGCTGCCCTTGTGGGCAGCCATCTGGGAGCCAGATACCAATGATGGACATAGCCAGAAGCAGAAATACACAGTATAATGGATGTGACTCTTTCCTTTGCACCGTAGGCTAAATTCCAGCCATGAAAAGCCATATCTTTCTACATACTCGCACCCACACAGAATCACAGAGTTGTAGAATTGCAGAGTTGGAAAGGATCCCAAGGGTCATCTGGTCCATCATTTATTTTGTTATCACCACGTTGGGCATTGCTTTCCTTTTTTGGTGAAGACAGAGGCAACGTAGGTGTTGAGTAGTTCCACCCAGTAGCATTTCTCCATCTTCTAGACACAGAGGATCTACTACTTGCTTGTTCTTCCTCTTGCTTTGAACACAGCCAAAGACACCTTTTATTACTGTATTATTATTAACCTCTCTTGCAAGCCTGAGCTCATTCTGAATTTTTGCCTGCCTGACCTTCTCCCTGCAACTGCTGGCTACTTGTGTATACTTCTCCTTTGTGATTTCCCCTTTCTTCCATTTATTATATACACCCTTCTTAAATTTCAGCTCATTTGTAAGCTCCTTATGCAACCAAACTGGTTTCTTTAGAGGCCTCTTACTTTTCTTTCTTTCACAAGCATTTAGCAATACAAATGTTAAAAATAACAGTTAATAAGAAAATAAACAGTTAAGCAAGCATATTAATAACAATAAAACAAGATATTGGATGTTCATTTGCATGCTACCTCTTACAACCAGTTATTGTTAGGGGTGTCAGGTAAGGAGTATCCGAAACACTGAGATTTCATGTTCCAAAGATCTAGGGGCGGCTACTGGTGATGTCACAGAGGCAGGCCCTAGTGATGTCACTGGAGACAGAGGTTAATTGGGAGAGGGGAAAGAAGAAGTGCAGGGGGGACCCCCTCCCCACCAATTATCTATGTTATAATTTGCAGCTATAGCTATAGCTCTTTTCCCCAAATTAACTGCAAGGGCTGGTTTGCATGTAAAGCCTGTCTCTGGCTTGCTCCTTTAGTGCTTCATTAAATACTGTACAGAAGCCGGAGAGGACCAAAACATTGCCTTTTGAGCTGTGTTTACCAGCATACTGCTCATTCACATTTCAAGCCCAGTTTAAAATAAACCATGGTTTAATGTGACACCATTATTGGCTTCTGATTTTAGTCTGGAGTTTAGCCAAAGTGTGAGTCTGCTTCCTGTCTAATGCAGAACTCATTTCCCAGCAGATTTTAATGCATCTAAATTGTTTCCCATAAAGTGCGCTGTGCTCAACCCTGCATGGGCACACACACATAGTTTAAATATACACCAGTTCTGTGTGAGAGAAAGTGGCAACCCCACCAAGGTCACCCACCTGTGTAGGGACTTCATTTTGCTTTTCAAAGTACTTTCCTTGGAAGATTTATAGCGAAACACTGTAAGCAAGGGGTGGCAACCTTTTAATCTCTCAGAGCCCACATTACCTTGTGGGGTGATATATCAGCTGCATACTGGCGTTCTGTGGTGCTGAAGACAGTATTGGGCGGGCGAGATCCAGGAGGGGGGGCACCTCTCTTCTCTCACTCTTCCTGACACCTGTCTCTTTCTGACAACCCTTTCTCTTCCTCTCTCAGTCCCTCCTTGCCCAACACTCTGCTGGGAAAAGGAAAGATTGTTTTTGCAAAAGTCTGACACAATTCCTTTCAAAGAGCTTTTGGCATGAGAGCCACCCCCGCTGTAATCACTATACTACACCACAGTCTTCCACTATTTTTTGTTTACCCCCTCTTCTCACTGCCTTCAGCACAGCAGACTTTATCTAGGACACAACTTTAATCTCCTCAAATCCCTCACAGTTAACTAGTTTTATAGCACTCTCATCTTCTAGCTTTTCTGATTTTACCACCTTTCTCCAGTGCCAGACTAGTCTAGTTTGCAGGGTTGGCTCAATACATTTCACCCCTGTAGGCAAAATTCCCCCACCCATGCCCCTGCCCCAATGATACCCACAGATTTGGGCCCCTGTCCTTGTTGGCATACACCCAAGGAAACCAGGGCAATTGGCAGGCCCCCAGCTGGCTCCAGCCCACCGGCCGGTGTGCCGGGCAAACTCCGGTCCTTGGTGCAACATGAATCTGCGGCTCAGGCTTCAGAAGACTAAGCACACAATTCAGCAGAATAAACACTGCACAAACAGAAGTGGCATGAGAGGCTGTGTGTGCATATTTACAAGCAGGTTTATTCAGGGTAGATCAGGACAAAAGGAAAACATGTCTGATCTCCTTCGTGTCCAAAGCAAAACAGAAAGCTATACAGTGGTACCTCGGGTTAAGTACTTAATTTGTTCCGGATGTCCGTTCTGTTATGTACTGAAGTTCTCACCCTGGGCCAGCAGGGGGATACTGTAGATAGTTTTCACTCAGGTCAGCATATGCAAATAAGGGATTGAAAGTGACATTCAGTGATTGGATAGTTACAGAAAGTGGTTACTGTTGCATTCTAGCGGAGCTCTATATAAGCAGGCTGGCTGAACCCTTCAGTTCAGTTCTGTTCTGTTCTGTTCTGACCTGTGAATAAACAAGAGCTGTTTGAAGAATTGCTGTGTCGTCTGATATGTTCACCCACAACTTAACACGTTCTTAACCTGAAACTGTTCTTAACCTGAAGCACCACTTTAGCTAATGGGGCCTCCTGCTGCCGCTGTGCCGCCGGAGCCCGATTTCTGTTCTTATCCTGAAGCAAAGTTCTTAACCTGAAGCACTATTTCTGGGTTAGTGGAGTGTGTAACCTGAAGTGTATGTACCCTGAAGCGTATGTAATCTGAGGTACCACTGTACACAAACAGAAGTTCCCAACATACTGAGCTGAAGTGTAAACAGACTTGTGACACACAACAATCATGCCTGTTCCTTAAGGTGGAACAGAACATCTCAACAGTCCTGTCCCACCCTCTCCCTGCTTCTGCCGTTGTGCTCACACTGCTGCCAACTCTGCCACCACAACTCACCTGAAGCTGCACCTGTGCTGCCGCCATGATCCAGCTGCTGCTGCAAGGGTACAGCAATGAGGGCACAGCAGCAGGGGTGAGGGCAATGGCACTTTGTTGGTGGCACACGCAAAGCCCCAGCAGGGCTGTCATCTGCACAACAGTGGCGGCAGGGAGGGGGTCAGATCTGCCACCCAAGGCAAATAGCTTCACCTCGCCTCATGCACAGTAAAGAGGATAATACCACGTACCACCCGGAGCTTCCTAGAGTGAGAATATGATATGAAACATACTAAAATAATCATGTAAAAGGGCGCCCAAGCGTAGTTCATTTATTAAAATTTATTTGCCAATATGTTTGTATTGTCATCAATGCTGCTTTATGAATTGGTCTTATGTACACGGAAGCTTTTCAATGTATTGTCTCTGCTTTTTAAATTGCTTCACAGTGGCTCTCCTGCTGCCCTTGCCCACTTGTCCAAGACTCTCTCTCCCAAGAATACAAAACTTGCAGCTCTCTAGATGTTGCTGGACTCCTACTCCCATCACCTCCAGCCAGCATGGACAATTATCAGGAGTAATGGGAATTGTAGTCCAACAAATTATGCAGGACAACAAGTTCCCCATCTCTGATCTATCCAGTACACTGACTGACTGTTGTCTGCAAACAAGGAAGTTTCAGAATGACTGTAGAACGAATGTCTGTGCTTTCCTGCAGGTGCAGAGAGGTCAATCCCAGGATTAAACCAACACATGACTGACTGAACCGTGATGTGATCCATTACAAGAGATTTGCTGAACTGCCCAATTGGTATGTTCCATTTTCTCAAGCCATTTAAAAGAAGTGACAAATCTGATTGCTCCTTTCCTCAGACACTCATGGCATAGCCCGCGCAGGAAATCATAGGCATCTTCTCATACACATCTTGTCATTTCTGGATAAAGAAGCAAGGCCTTCAAACTGACAGTCCTTTGGATTTGCCGTTTTTCCTCCCTTGGATGTCCTTGGGATTAAAGAAACAAGGGATGGTGAATACATTAAATCCAGATTAAGTTTAGCTGGATGCAGCGGAGCCATCAACAGGGAAGAGCAACACATGAAAGCAAGAAACAGGTGAGAGTTTCTGTTTTAATTTCACCCTCCTGACCTAATAGGAATTCTTCAGCCTGCCTTGGTTTGCTAGCCACACATATCTGAAATATATTCCTGGCCATGGCTTTCTGTTAGGTTAGGCCTAATTGACTGTTGGGAGATGATCTTCAAGAGGAAAGGGGAGATGCAGTGTGCGAAGCAAGGGACCATCAATCTCTTACAGAGCCAAATCCTGGATCAAAGTCCATGTAAAGAGCTTTTGAAAGAGAGATTTGAGGAAAGGATATATTTATTTATAAGGTGTGTTTTTTTTAATAAATAAAAATCTGCACTTCACTGTAAGGTCCCAGGATAGATTACAGCTGTATAATATACAGGTATACTCACTGCACTTGGGGATGGGGTAGCTTAGAGAAGAGCTGAGTAAGAGGCAACATGATACAAGTATATAAAGAATTATGCATGGCATGAAGGAGGTGGACAGAGAAAAGCTGTTCCCTTTTAACGCTAGAGCTCACGGGTTTCCAATGAAGATGAATGTTGAAAGATTCAGGGCAGACAAAATAAAAGTCCTACTTCACCTGGCTCACAGTTAAACTACAGAACTCACCCCCATGAGAGGCAGCGATGGCCACCAAGTCTGATGGCTTTAAAAGAGGATTTGACAGAGAAATGGGCTATCAATGAGTGCTCACCTTCATGGCTATGATCTGCCTCCACAACTGGAGGCAGTAATTCTTCTGAATAGCAATTGCTGGAAACTTCATGAGGGGAGACTGCTGCTGTGCTCAGGTGACTGATGCCCTGCTTGCATGTCTGCCACAGGCATCTGACTGTGGTGGACTAGATGGGGCACTAGCGTGATCTAGCAGGCGTGTTCTTATGTTCTCATGTGTGTGTAAGGACTGAGAGAGCACCATTCAGTTCTGCTATTCAAAACAAAATTGTGGAGTCCAAAATCTTTGATTTTAAGCATGTATTTTGTACTGGGTTCCATTGATAGATCCTGGGGTCTTAGTTAAAATCTAAAGTCTGCTATTTATTTATTTTAAGCCATCAACCTGCCCTATACTGAAGTATGCACATAGCCACCAGTAAAGCATCCCCCCCCCCATTTTTTTAAGGGAAGAAAATTTTACAACAGGATTGTTGCTTTGCTATTTTTCTTCAAGGACGGCGGGGGAAAGCCAGAGACTCACCCTGCCCCTGTTCATCTCTGTGGTTTGCTGGAGTATGTTTCACCTCTTCTCTTACTGCTGGTCTTGGCTGCAGGCTATCCAAGAGCCAATGAGGTAAATATGGAGAGCAAGAATATCTGGTGCCCTGTGGGACTGGTGGGGAAGAAGGCTGGGAAGTCAGTGGTAGGTGAAGGCAAAGCCAGTTATAGATGGAGCCACAGGTTGAGCTAACTAACTTTGTCCCCATCCTCATTCCTATGGATTTCTACAAGGGTAACATACTAAGGAGGATGAAAGTAACATGTGGTGGCAGCCCCAGACTAGTTGTTGGAATCCTGGAAGTCAAGCCCCAAGTTTGAGGAAAGTACTCTTTGGTGAGAGAACAGCAGCGATTTAATATTGCAATGAAAAGTGTTGACTTCTGCATGTGGAACTGGGAGATGGCACAATCTTGTTCTTTTCCTAAGACAGCAAATGTCTTGCTCTGGTCCTGCTTTTAGCCTCAATATCTTTTTCCTTTTTTTTTTTTTTAAGGAACTGCTGCATTTAGTGCCTAAGTAAGCAGAGCATTCTGGGTAACAAGAGACTCACCATACATCTCTCTCCCAGCTTTATACGACCACTGAATTCTGGTTTGTTTGCATAGTGCCAAACAAAGGTTGCTAAGGCAATAAGCTGAAGCCCTGCTGGTTGCCAAGTGATGCACTTTGTGCTTCCATCCACTTCTGTTCCAAGTATATGTTGCCCTTTCAACTAGGCCTGCGCCCCACAAAAAATCACTATAGCAACACAGAAGGCCTGCACTATGCTACTACGCATGCCACATTTTCACAAAGAGAGGGGATGAGTATGCCATGTTCCCTCAGAATGGCAATGCAATGATGAGGAAATATGTGCTCTGATTCATTTTTGCCTGCCGTTCTTAAACAGAGAACTCCTCCACCTGTTGTGGGGTGGGGTGGGGGGAAGAGGAGAGAAATAAAACAGACCCTTCACATCACTGGTAATTCTCCTCACAAAACAATGGCTTGTAAACATTTTTCAGAAGAACTATTAGTCCCACTGTGGAGAGCTTCAGGGCCAAAGTACTCATTAGAATAATTACATTTTTGAAGCGACGTGCTTAGGACTTGCCATGCATCTTTCTTAACAAAAAAGCGCAGCCATATGGATGGAGAGGAAGAGTGGAATATGTGCACAAAGCAGTTGTGTGTTTTTTTAAAGGTGTTTCCATGCAATAGTTTCTCACAATGTCCCTCTGCAACAAAATAGTTTCTCACAGTGTCCCCTGCAACAAAATGTCATCAAAAGGCCAGCCCATGCTTTTTTAACATTTCATCTGGATTTCACTTTACTATGGGAACTCTAATCCTCCCTCCCTGCAAAGGTGTTACCAGATTGCATCTTTACATTACCCTTCTCTTTCCCATCAGGAAAGTGACCATCCTTGTCCTTGGCCTAGACAGTGCAGGAAAAAGTTCCCTCGTGAAAGAAATCCAGAGAGGTGAGTCAGCTAAGCTTTCCAGCTCTTCCACTTCAGAACCTGAACTCAGTGCCTAGTAGAGCTGACAGGAGTGTCTCTAAAGGCTCATCCACACTTAACCTTTGCTCTGAGTTTATAGGTCCATGCTTTCCAGGTCTGTGTCTGAGTATTCTGTTCCGTTCTGGTGCTTTCCCAAGGAAAACTCATGTTTTACCACCGAATCAGAGCAAGCAGCAATCCATTTGCTCTGATTCAGCAGTAAAACATACTGGGACATAGACCTGGGAGGCCCAGACTTGTGCCTAGAAATGCGGCGCAAAAGGAAGTGTAAATGAGTCCTCAGCCTGTGCTGAAGGCCTTTCTTTCATATAACATTCCTCAGCCAGTCTTACATAGTTTAGTTCTAGGAGACTGGCTGTCAGGTAGACCTGAGTCTCAGCATCAACCTATATCCCTTGTTGCTGATTTCAGCTGCCTATGAGCCCAGTACGCACTGGCTGACCTGACACATTACAGTGGTGCCTCGCAAGACGAAATTAATTCATTCCGCGAGTTTTTTCGTTTTGCGGTTTTTTTCGTCTTGCGAAGCACGGTGTCGGAAAAGCTTTGGAAAAGCTTCAAAAATCACCAAAGTCTTCAAAAACCTCAAAAAAGGCTACCACACCGCATGCTATGAGTTGCTCCTCGAAGTCAAGTCGCAACTGTATTAACGGTTTTAAGAAAAAGGAAACAAACTTGCAAGACGTTTCCATCTTGTGAAGCAAGCCCATAGGGAAAATCGTCTTGCGAAGCAACTCAAAAAACCAAAAACCCTTTCGTTTTGCGAGTTTTCCGTCTTGCGAGGCATTCATCTTGCGAGGTACCACTGTACTCTGTACAACCGTCACTTAAATAGTAAAGCTCTATAATTCCCCTAATTCCCAATGTTTGGGCTGTGAGTACCATTGCTCAAACTGCCAAAATGGCAATACCTATGGCCAAGAGAGTAGTATCAGTAGGCTTGGGGAAACCCCAAGGTTTGCAGAAGAACAGAAAACTGGGAGACTACCAAAACAATATAATAAGGACTTGGGATGCATACATACCATACATTTAAAGAACACAAACAAACACACCAAAAATATTGGGACCTGTGGTTAATCCCTCACAAAGGTACAATTTCCAGCAAACTACAGTTCCTAGTATTGTTTGGGGGAATAAATGTGCTTTAAATGCATGGATGCATACACAGCCTGAGTGTATGCTGACTGTCAAGGGAATATAATGGGAAACAGAGCTTGAGTGGGCAAATACAATGGTGTATCCTAGAGGAAGGACCTGAACAGTAATGCTTCACTGTGCAACATTTTATATCAGGCCCTCCTTGCAATTTCCTATAATTTTTCTGGAAATTAGAGGAAAGCTCCTGTGGTGTATGATCTTACCTGTATTTTTACTTGAGACTGATGCCCGTTCTTGTTGTTGTTGTTGTTTCATTTGCTCTTGCTACTTTTGTTTGCAGTCCTCTCCTGTGAAGTGCTTCCCATCACAAAGCCGAACCAGACAGCGCTCAGGGTGGACAGGTTTGAGGTGTCCCTCATTGACCTGCCTGGTGGACAGCAGTCCTTGGGAACCTGGAGGGACCAATACAGCACTGCACATGGGATTATCTTTGTGCTTGACTCCAGCGATGTGGCAAGGATGGAAGAGGCCAAGAAGACTCTCTCCCGTGTTCTGGGGCACCCCAAAGTTTCAGGAAAGCCTCTGTTACTGTGAGATACTGATTCTTCTAGCATCTTCCTTCCTTCCTTTGTACCCTGTGGTGAATGAATGGGTGTAAAAGAGGGGTGGAGATTCCTCTCTCCTCTCCTCTCTCCCCTCCCCTGTTTTATTAGACCCACTAGGATTCCTCTTTGGGACATGGGTGGCGCTGTGGGTTAAACCACAGAGCCTAGGACTTGCCGATCAGAAGGTCGGCGGTTCTAATCCCCCACGATGGGGTGAGCTCCCGTTGCTCTGTCCCTGCTCCTGCCAACCTAGCAGTTCAAAAGCACATCAAAGTGCAAGTAGATAAATAGGTACCACTCCAGCGGGAAGGTAAATGGCATTTCCGTGTGCTGCTCTGGTTCGCCAGAACTGGCTTAGTCATGCTGGCCACATGACCCGGAAGTTGTACGCCGGCTCCCTCGGCCAATAAAGCGAGATGAGCTCCGCAACCCCAGAGTCAGTCACGACTGGACCTAATGGTCAGGGGTCCCTTTAACTTTACCTAGGATTCCTCTTTAGGCCCATGAGGCCATTTCAGCCAAGCTACATCCACCTGCCATACACTTGACTTTATATATGACATCAGATGCTGGGCATGTTAGATCCACTGACATGAAAGAGAGGTTGCAGGCAGAACTGATCCGAGGCAACTACAAAGTGCCACAGAGAGCAGTAAAGGGAGTGGTTTTATACCTTCCAAGTCCTGATCAGATCCACAAGGCAGTTTACAGGGGAAACGATGTATCTTCAAGCCATCTCAATCAGGTTACACTCAGCCCACTTCTGTGATCAGTGAAAAGTTCCAGGGGCCAGGTTTTAGTTCCCTTTGGAAGGAGGCCACTGGAGGCTCATTGGTGTTTTGTCATATCTGTGTTTATCTACAAACACACACAGAGAGAGCATAGTTGGAGGTGCAGGTTAAATGCTCCAAAAGACAGCCAAAGCCCATGACTCCCGTGGTAGGTCTTACGGGAAACAGGTGCTGCTCCCTACAGCCAAATACTGTTACCTTAAAGAGTTCTGGAGCTCCTCCAGATATTTACTGACCATTCATCCTGGTTTGCTTGCCCAAAGCTATTGTGGAGGCTGTACAGCGTCCACTCTTTATTGAGCATCAACTCTAATTTGTTTGATGAGGCAGTAATACAACAAATAGCATTCATCCTGATTTGGTTGTGGGATGTTTATATGTCTTCTTCCCATTAATAATTTGTTTATCCCACACCTTTCAGTGCCTTCCCCCATCACTTTCCTGACTAAAAATGTCATCCCTTTCCTTCCTTCCTTCCTTCCTTCCTTTCCTTTCCTTTCCTTTCCTTTTTTTAAAAAATGGATTTATTATACTACAGCAGCAGAGTGCTTTAATCTACTTTAATTGTGCAGACCTAATTTGCTACTATGTGCTTTAATCCTTCCCACAAAATAATGACAGTCTGGAGCAGGGGTCAGCAAACTTTTCCAGCAGGGGGCCGCTCCACTGTCCCTCAGACCTTTGGGGGGGCTGGATTATATTTGGGGGAGTGAATGAATTCCTATGCCCCACGAATAACCCAGAGATGCATTTTAAATAAAAGCACACATTCTACTCATGTAAAAACACGCTGATTCCTGGACCATCGTGGGCCAGATTTAGAAGGCGATTGAGCCGGATCCGGCCCCCGGGCCTTAGTTTGCCTACCCATGGTCTGGAAGCAGGGATAGACAATTTAGCACTTCCCTGGCCCTTTTCCTAACTAGAAGGGGTAAATCAGGATGAGTTATCTCCTCTGACGATCACTTCATCTTTTGGGGCCCTCTTAGCACCCATGGAATAACACTGGCAGAATATCAGAGCTATTAGTAGTCTTTTATCAAGCCTAAAGTCACATCAACACCATACATTTAAAGCACATAGCTCTCCCCCCCCCCCAAAAAAAACCCCACCAATCCTGGGAACTGTAGTTTGTTAAGTGTGCTGGGCATGGTAGCTCAGTGAGGGGTAAACTTCAGTTCCCAGAATTCCTTTGAGGAAGTCATGTGCTTTAAATGTGTGTTAAATGTGCTTTAAGCGTGTGGATCTGCCCATTCAAGACTGCATAGTAGACCTGGTGCCCTCCAGATGTTGTTGGACTTCGGGTTAGAGAATAAATTTGATTCAGCACACATTTAAAGCTTTAAAGCTCAGTCTATCAAGTCTGCACTTTCTAAAACAATATGTGAACCAAAACACAGCAATTATTCGTAATCCATTCTTACCCAAATTTTGTGATGCAGTTCTCCAAACAAACAATGTTTACAAAAATGCATATATAAGGGGAAAGCGTGCATAAAAATGGAGATATTGTGGGGAGGGGGAGCATACAAAATAGAGTTATATTATTAGGATAAATTTGCACTAAAATGCTGATGGATGTAAGATTGGAAAAAGGAGAAACTGAGAAGTAGACAGGTCCTTTCACCTTTGTACTACAACTCCCACTAGCCACAGCCAGCATGGCCAATAGACAGCAATTATGGGACATGTAGTCTAACAACATCTGAATAGCCAAAGGTTCCCTATTGCTTTTTTAAATGGTATAGTTACAACAGTGAGTGTGCTGTTTGCTAATGGAATCTTGCCTTTCCATCTGTTCTGTTTTCAAAATTCTATGTGAATGGTTCAAGGCTGGCAAACAAGCAGGACAAGTTGGATGCTCTCTTGCCCTGTGAGATCATTGAGTGCCTGTCTCTGGAAAAGTTGGTGAATGAAAACAAGTCGTTGTGTCGAATTGTAAGTAAAATGATACCCTCTTTACACAGGTTGGCTATTCTTCACAAGGGATGGAAAGGAAGTCTCCCTTTTGTCCACTCTGCCCTTCATGATGATCATTTCCATGGAGTTTATACAGATTGTTACTTCCTCTTGCTCAGATTACGTATCCCATTTTAATTCTTGCCCAGTGGAATTGAGGCAATCAGGTCAGAGAGATCTGAACAGGAAGTCCTTGCGATCAGAGATTATGGGAGTTGTAGTCCCACAACACCTGGAATAATGGAGGCTGGTGGCCACTGGGACTGGTAAGACACCAGTCGGCAGACTCAGAAGCCATGACAGATGGAGCCAAATAATTCTAGGTTTGCCCCCATCCAGCTCCCTGTGGTTGCACAAAGGCAACCATGAGACTAAAAAGGGTAGAGATAACAGCCAGTGACCCCCACCCCCTGCACAGGTTGTAAGAAGGCAAGCAGGTAGGGGCTAACTGAGAGCAAGCGGACACCTCCCCTTGCCTCCTGGGTGGGTTGGCCCTGGAATTCAGCACTATTTTAGCAGTATCTAGCTCACATAAGGTCTAGTTTGCACCTACCTTCGGGCAGGAGATACAGAAGTATAGTCAGCCACACCAACAGGTTAAAGGACAGTTTTTATTCGTGGGCTGTTGGGCTGCTGAATGGGAGGGGGAAATAGTGGTGCAATTGACTTCCGACAAGCACACAGAGTGCAAACAAGACTGAGTGTATGTGTGGGGCGGAGGGGGGCTCATTTAATTTCACTGCACACAGGTGGTGTAGTGACAATAAAGGTTTATTATTATTATTATTATTATTATTATTATTATTATTATGTTAGTTAGTTAACAACTCCTGATGCATAGAAAATACATTGATGGTTGTTTGGCATAAAGTGGCTTCTTGCAGCAAGCCGTTTCATCCACATCAATTTCCCTTGTCATGTAGCAGGTTTTGCATTGCACCAGGAGATGTCTCCCCTTTGCTTGCTGGTCTCAACATGTCACCAGAGAGGGCCTGCCAGAGTTTCTTGTAACAGACCTCCCATAGGTATTATGGTTATGTTGTTGGCATCCATCTGCCAACTCACAGACTCCTCCACTTTCTTTGCCTTGAATGGGGCAGCTGGGTTTTCAGACTGGCTGTCCTCTACCTTCATCTTACAGGAACCATGTTCAGCTTCCAAAAGGCTTCCCAAAATGCAATGCTGGACCATCGTTCAAGGGCTACATTGGCTATTGCGTACAATCGCCACCAACTACAGTGTACTTTGTGGTCGCATCCAGGAAGACAGTCCTGAACATCAAGTATCACTAGAGCAGGAGGTATCCAAGAAAGTACAGAAATCCAGGAACAGGACATCAGAAGCCAGGTTCCTCCTTCTTCCTGCAAGCCTATGCTGTGTGTAATGCCTACTCTTAAGATCTTAGAGGGGGTTGGACCATAGCTCAGTGCTGGAGCATCTTGCTTTACAGAAGGTCTTGCAGAAGGTCCTAGGTTCAATCCCCATCATTTCTATATACGGGAGGGGGAAGATTTCCTTTATGAAATCCTGGAGGGCTGCTGGTGGTCAACAGTGACAGTATGAAGGTAGATGTGCCAATGGTTTGACTCAGTACTGTATAAAGCAGCTTACATGTTATGTTCCTAGAATGCAAATGGGAGGGGCGCAGAATGGTGAGAAAAGAAAAGAAAGGTCAATTTATAAGAAGATTGCTTAGTGCAGGGTGGTGAAGAGAGAGAAGGGGAAAGAGCAAGGTGATGAAAAGCTGAACAGAGAGCAAGTTGGCAAAAGGGGAAAAGACAAGAAGGGAACAATTAGAGTGGAAACTGAAGCAGGAGTCATCAACATGACACCCAAGGTTCCAGTAGGACCCTTGAGGTCTTACCTTGGGGCCAACAAAACCTCTGTGTGTCCCCCACACACTCTGCCTTCTTGGTCATAAGATAAAGAGAATGCTTGCCTTTTTCTTCTTTTAAAAGTGCATAGAGATTAAGAAGAAAGTTGACAGAGTGGTGCTCTTTCCCACTTCCTTTTTCAGCTGTATGTGGTCTTCAAAGCTCAGCTTAATTCTACTGGATCTGGTTTTTACCCAGATTCCTTGGTAAAATGAAGTGTGTGCATGTATGGGGCATGTGTGCCCACAGACCTAGAAATGGGACTAGCTGAAAGACCAGAGACAGAAACTACTACCCAAACAGCAGCAATTACTTGACATTGACTGAGGCTGAGAAACTGAGGGTGAGAAACAGTGAGGCCACATCGACACCATATATTTAACACAAATTTAAAGCACATCACCTTCTCCTGAAGAATCCTAGGAACTGTCATTTGTTAAAGGTGCTGGAATGTAGTTATGTAAACTACAACTCCCAGGGTTATTTGAGGGAACCCATGTGTTTCTAAAGTGCTTTAAATACATAGTAGGGATTGGACCTGATTTGCTCAAGAGTCCACCAATAGATCTGTAGTTGAATAGAGACCAAGTTCTCCAAAAACTACATTTATTTGTTGTACCACATAGACATAGAAGATGGCAGAGCTGTTTTTAGCACCACTGCTTAGTTTCAAAGTTGAAGGAATAGAATAATATGTACATATGTGTATCTTTTGAATAATTTCTTACATCTGCCTTTAGGGAGTCATTGGCCAGAAGAGAGTGCAGCCAAGGAGGAAATGCCAAGATGGAGGAAAAGAAACCCACAACACTGCCCCAGAATATCCCCTCCCAGGTAACTGGTGATTCTGCTATATTTTGTCTGCCAGGAATTTTACACTTTTAAAGATGCATTGTTTCATAAAATTAATTAGTGGCATAATGGGCAGTTTTAGACATCACGATAAACCACAGTTAATTATTTACCACACATGAACCATTTGCACCCAGTTTGTTCCTTGCTAGCACTGGGGAGAAACAGATCACAATTCCTGCCTTAGCATTACATCTGAGCCAGAAATCATGGATTGTTTCACTCAAACAAACTCATGATCAGGAAGTCAAGAACAATCCATGTGTGGGCAATGGGGATGCAAAAAGGCATCATTTTCTGTTCCATTCCACCTTGCATTCATTTCAGCAGCTCATCTTCCATCAAAATTTCCGTTGCTTATCTCACTGTCCGCCATGGCAAAACTACATAATTTATGTGATTTATGTAATTAATTCCAGCACCTTCTTTCCAGGCGGAAACGCCCAGGTTCAATCCTTAGAATTTACAAGTTGGCCGGTACAACTTATAATTCCTTCCTGAAAGCGTGAAGGGCTGCTGCCAGTCCGTTACTGAGCTAGATCAACCAATTGCTGGCTCAGTTATACAGCTTCCTATGTTCCTGACATTTTCTGTGCCACGTTTTCTGAAAGCATTCCCAGAGACAGGGCTTTTCCTCACACGCACGCACTTTGTTTTCTGCTCAGCAGGAAGAAATACTAGTGGCCTCCAAGAAAAAGAAAGGGAAATTAAAGCTGAAGGTGAAGAAGAAAAGTTTGGTGCAGTCGGAGAATACCTTGACAGAAGATGACAGTGCGAAAGCAGCAGCAAGTGGGAGCAAAGTGGGAGGTGTCACTGTCCGCCGTCCCAGCAACAAGGTTGCCCAAGAGAACCCCAGAGTTCTGGAATCAGCTCCACCCCCAGCAGGTAAACATAGATTTCTTAGAAACATGAGAGAAACGCTAGAAGCATGACGATGAAGAAGAAGTAGCAGTATTATATTTCCATCTCACCTTTCCTCCAAAGAGCTTGAGGTGGCATAGGTAGTGCTCCCCCTCTCCATCTTATCCTCACACCAATCCTGTGAGGTATGTTAGGGTTGAGAGACAGAAACAGGATCACTTCAGTGAGCTTCAGGGTTGAGTGAGTCTCTGTAGAACTTCCTCAGAGTGTGCTGTAGGCTGCAAACAACATCTCGCAGGTAAGGATCTGCCATGCTTTCATCTTGGGGTGGACAGGCCTCCATCACTCTTGAATGGAAGTCCACACTGTCCTCAGCGGAGCTGAAGGCATTGGAGAGCAACAGGAAGAAGAATATGCCAAAGAGAGTGGAGGTGAGAACACAGCCCTGATTCACACCACCTTTTATAGGGAAGGTGGACAAGGATGAACCGTCATGCTGTCACTGGGGGGGGGGACCCTCATTGCTCCATCAGATTGTTCCTCCAATTTTAGGGCCAGATCTTCTGTTGCCATTTGTAGCATTTGAATGTCCATCTGGTTGTTTAGCTCTAGGTTTAGCTCTAGTGCTTTTATTAGTCCAGTCTGCAATTTGCCCAGATAGATATTTAAACTTCTGTTTGAAAGCTCTGCCCGATCTGAGACAGGAGCTTTCCTTATCTTGCTTATGTAGTACAGTGGTGCCTCGCAAGACGAAATTAATCTGTTCCGCGAGTGTCTTCGTCTAGCGGTTTTTTCGTCTTGCGAAGCAACCCTATTAGCGGCTTAGCGGATTAGCGCTATTAGCGGTTTAGCGGCTATTAAAGGCTTAGCGGCTTAGCGGATTAGCTGCTAAAAGGCTATTAAAGGCTTAGCGGCTTAGAAAAAGGGGGGGAAGCGGAAAAAAATCTTAAGACTTGCAAGACATTTTCATCTTGCGAAGCAAGCCCATAGGGAAATTCGTCCTGCGAAGCAACTCAAAAACGGAAAACCCTTTCATCTAGCGGGTTTTCCGTCTTGCGAGGCATTCGTCTTGCGGGGCACCACTGTAGTCTGATTCTTTGTCTTCCTCCACGGTTGTTAGCATTTTCATGCCTTTTTGTGTTCTCATTCCTCCCTTGACCATCTCTGAATCTGAGGCCGGAAAGAAGGATTCATCAATTTCTTCTTGCTTACTTCTTTTTTGGACCCTGGAGACTATGTAGCTTTAGTCTGTCAGGGCTTTAGAATTGTATGTGTCTACTCTGCATCAAAGTAGTCCTTAGGCAATTAGAGACACTAAACTATGTTGCCATTTAGCTCCTTGGCTAGCCATGCTCCCCAAAGTTGGTGAATTTTTGTAAGGATTCCTTAAAAAAAAAATGTGTGTAAATGCTACATACATGCAGAGAACTGAATTTATGATTGGAAAAATGAGAGATTGAGAGAACCACTACTGACAGATCCTTCTGTCCCTGCTAGTTACGATGAGGTGGCTCTGAAATCAGGTTTGAGTCTGTAGCACAAATCTGGGATTCTGGTTAATTCTATCCTCCTTAACCAGTACCTATAGGTCAAACTATAGTTTACTGTGGCTTGCAAATCAGAGAATTTATTCCATTCCCCCCCCCCACTTCTCTTTTTTCAGGACAAAGCACAAAGAAGAAAAATAAAAGACTGAAAAATAAAGTCAAATCTCAGGAATCATCACAGACCCAGCCAAACGAGCACCTATCAAGCACTTTTGGTACATCTTACTCAGCTAGGAAAGGGTTTGTGGGAAGGTTGCAAAATATCAATGATACTCATTAAAACAACAAATAAGGTTGGTTAGCTTTGGGGGGGAAACAAAAGCTCTGCGTGTTTTAGGGTCTTTATTGACCCAGATTGTGGGCAAATGTGGCAATGCTTCCATACTGAGGTGAAAGCAGGATTAGGCAAAACTGGATATAAAACACGTGTATAAGGGAGAATTTCTCACTAAAATGCTGAAAAATGTTTGTGAGGACTTGCCAAGTTATGTAGAAATGTGGATAAATAAATTTTCAAGACTAGAAAAATTATAAACTGAGAGAACCCAGCTTTTACATATTTGCCCATTCTTACTTTAGGCTAACTATTTACTTAGCTGTCTTGTTCATCCTTGGGTGGATAACCAGGGTATGCATCTTCTTAAATAATTGTCAGATTTATATGATCCCACCTGCTGAAGCACCTGTTGTTGTTGGCATTCATCTGTCTTGAGAGGCACTGGTGTGCACCTCTGGGGATGAAGCCAGACCACTGTGTTAGCAGTGTCAAAGTGATCTCCCCAGGGCACAAGCCTGGGCAGTGTGGAGGTCCTGGGATCCCCAGAGGACAAGACCGTCTCAGCCTCCCTGATATAGTTCAAAGGAAAGCAGAGCGATACATTTGGCACCAGCTTGGCTGCAGGAGTTGCTGGAAGGAAGCGGACAAAGGGCCATCCAGCTGTCTTAGGGACTCTGCTTTTGATTTGAGCATTTCCTTTCTATGTATAACAGTTAAGACAAAGTACTTAGATCACTCCAGGGTGACTGTGTCCTACTTTACAGAGGATGGCCCCCTGTTTGAAGGGCTGTCTGCTTCAAAATTCTTTAAAGTTAAAGAACCATAAAAAGGGAGAACTTCCAGAGGCCAGTGAAGTAGTTTCCCATCAACAGTTAGCAGCAGGATTGCAGACTTAGCATGCATTGCAGACTGAGCAGACTCCTGGTCACAATCTTCCCCACTTTGTGCAAATGTATGTCCTCTTTTTTCCTCTTTCTGGCAATCTGTAAGTGGTCACCCTGTTTCATCCATGGCTCCTTCTTCCACAGATTTGTATCGAAGAGCTATGCTGGCTCTGAAAATGCAGCCACAGGGCCGGAAGCCACAGTCTACAACCACTCCCTAAATAAGGTGCTCCACACTTTCCCTTGGGACTGGGGATTCAAAGTGGTACTAAGAGAACTGAAGAAACTGCAGCAGCGAGGCCAAACCTGATTCTGAGGTGTTCCAAGCTCATCTTTCTCTGCAAGATGTTGCAAGGTGTTTAAAGGGGCAGGTGTTAGCATACAGTTGGTAGTTGACGGAAAGAGCCCTCCCCAAATGGAAAGCCAGGGAGCTTCCTGTCTGTCGCTGTTTTTGAGGGGGTTAAATCACATACTGGCAAAGTAAAGTTGTACAGTTATAAGAGGTCTTGCACAACAAATCCGCTTCCCTCAAAACACTGAACTTCTTTTGCAATAAGGAAAGGGAAAGGCACTGGAATGTGTGGGATAATGCTAGTTTTGACACAAGGATCATCTTAACTTTGTGGAAGCAAATCGTCATTAAATAGTCAATGGCAGCTAATTTCCCTGCAATGAAATCAGGATGAATGCTCTACTAACAAGGCAACTGGAAGCATCCCTGGTCTCAGAAGTAGAAGAGTGGGGTGCCTTCAGAACTCCTCCAAGTCATTTTGCTACCTGAGGCAGAAGACAAGATGGTGTGTCCGCTGCCCCCTATTCTACACAAGAAGCCGAACAAGACTGGTGGTTGAATCTCTGCCTTCAGCACTGGCAACAGAACAGTATCTCCACCATGCCTGAAGGTAGCAGACTTGCCGAGGGAGCACATTGTAGGCCACATGTGCACACAGCTCCCCAGAATCTTGCTGCTGTTCCCTGCCTCCCAGCATTTCCTGCCTGAGCTGGTTGCCTCATTCTGCCTAATAGTTGAGTTGGCCCTGGGTGGCTCTGGGGCAGCAATGGAGAACCTTTTTTATTTCTTTGATGGCTAACTTTCCATGAGCCACATGCCAGTAGTGGGAAGAGCCATTGCAAAAGGTGGCTCTCTCTCTCTCACCACACACACACTTATTTACATCCACACACAAATACAATTTTGCATTCATACACATGAACACATTATACCCACATGCATCTATTCTCACATATAGCATACACACGTTCAATACTTCCCTCCCTCTCTCCCAGACACTTCTGTGAAATTAGAATTCAACAAGATTTGTGCTGTGTACACATCAAATTTTAAAGAGCATTCTGTGCACAGCAAGTGCGGACGTTTTCCAAATTGTCACACTACATCATACATATCCAACACATGTTCTGAAGTTATTCTCCACTTCTTCTCATTCTTATTTTAAGCTGAGAACATTGGGGAAATACAATATAAATTTGCATCACTCTGTTATGTAGACATCAGGAAGCACATTGTGTGACTACCTAGTTGTTGGATGGTTTCACAATTTTTCAGGTGTGGAAAGCAGGTAGGGGCACATTGCTTCTGGAAGCAGTAACAGACTTTTGAAGGCTAGCTGAGGGGAGGGAATGTCAGTGAAACAATTCTTATCCATCCCATCACACCATGACGACTGATGTGCATGGCATGAACCAGCATGTCTACCTGAAATTGACATTAAAGCACAAATGTGGAGATGAGTGTACATAAATGCTCACTGAGTAAAATTCAGTTAAAATGGCTTTTGTACACTTTAAACCAGCAATGTGTGCATATGCCTTCCTGCCTCATCCTATGAAGAGGGAGAGTTTGCAGGAAACGTATTTATGATGAAAGGAAGAAAGGATCAATGTTCTGGAAACCCTTAGAAATTGCCTTATCCTTTTTGTCCAACTGTGATTGACAAGTGGGCACTCCCTTAGGAACATTAACTGTACCAAATGATATTTTATTTTGTATATTGTATTTCAAAACTGTTGGTTTCATCTGTACTTTCATAATTTTATTGTGTCTACTTTTAAAGTTTGTCGATTTTATGGATATTTTCTTATGAATATTTTATATTATTTTGTGTAAGCCATTTAGAGAGGGTTTATTATTAGTATTATTAAGTGGGATATAACTCTTGTTAAATAAATTTAAAAAGTAAATGTACAACTATGGGGAGTACTCAGAGGCTGAAACAGTCTTCTGCTGGAGTACTGCCAGAGCCTCTGTGGATTCCATAAACCTAAAACAGCACAATTGTGGCTTGATTGAACATAGAATCATAAAGCAGTACAGATTGTTCCCTTCTGAAAGAAAATTATATGAAAATGATGTATAGATGGTATATAACACCAGTACACATAGCAAAAATGTATAAAACCAGCTCTTAACATTTGCTGGAAATGTAAAGAAAAAGAAGGGACTTTTTATCATATGTGGTGGGAATGTAAAGAAATTTTAAAAACTTTGGGAAATGATATATAATGAATTGAAGAATATGTTTAAAATAACATTTGTAAAAAAAAAACAACCAGAAGCATTTTTGTTAGGGATTGTAGGACAAGACCTGCCAAAGAAATAAGGAACTTGTTTATGTATGCTACAACAGCAGCAAGAGTCTTGATAGCACAAGGATGGAAGAATGAGGAAACCCTGACAAAAGAACAGTGGCAAGAGAAATTGATGAATTATGCAGAACTGGCTAAATTGACATACTAACTGCGAGACGAGGACAACTGTGACTTTAAGGAGGAATGGGAACTTTATACAAATTATTTAAAAACACAACAAAATGAACTGGACTCCTTGGCAGGTTTTGAATTAAACATGCACAAATTTATTGTTGATAAAATGATGGAAAGATATGTAAGGATATATACAATTTTATAATATGCAGAGAAAATATGTGCAGTGAAACCAGGAAGAGGAGCTGAGGGAAATCCTGGGGGGGGGGGGGGGAATTATGTAGGTGATTATATGGTTTGATAATTTGTTATGTGGAAATTGAGCAATAAAAAAATATATTTTTTTAAAAAAAGAATCATAAAGCGGTAGAGTTGGATGGGACACCAATGGTAATCTAGTCTAACCCACTTCAATGCAGGAATCTCAACTAGATCATATATGACAGATGGTCATCCAACTTCTGCTTAAAAAAGCTTCCAAGGAAGAAGAGTCTACCACCTCTCATGGGAGTCTGTTCAACCGTCGAACAGCTCTTACTGTCAGAAAGTTTTTCCTGATGTTTCATAGGAATCTCCTTTCTTGTAATTTGAATCTATTGGTTCGGGTCCTAACCTCTGGAGGAGAAAACAAGCTTGTTCCATCTTCCAAATGATAGCCCTGTAAGTATTTGAAGATGCTATCATATCTCCTCTCAGTCTCCTCTTATCCAGGCTAAACATACCCAACTCCCTCAACTGTTCGTCATCAGGCTTGTTTTCCAGACCCTTGACCATCTTGGTTGGACTCCTCTGCACACATTCTAGCTTCTCAATGTTCTTCTTAAATTGTGGCACCCAGAACTGGATACAGTACTCCACAACAGGCCCCAGGTTTGATGTACTAAAAGTGACATCTGGTGAGTCCTGTTCTAACTCAATAAAGACTCATGAAATAGCATCCTTCCAATCTGGTGATAGGCTGTTGTTTTCTCGTGGTTAAATTTTGCAGCATGGCATTAGTGCAAATATAATGCCTTAGTGGTGGATTTATACTGGACCATCTGCACACCTGTTCACTTTATTAGCTGTTCTGAAATGCTTCCCCAGTGTTATTGCATTACTGCCACCTGCACTATACTACAAGAAAAGTGGTTGAAAGAAAGGTAAGAACCAAAAGTTCTGGGATAGGCACTGATTGGTAGTGAAGTAGTATGTCTGCTCCAAAACATTTGCAGGCACAAACAGTATTGAAAGTTGGGTCACATATAACTGCCCCAGTGCCATCATGAGCACAGGCCATCATGAATGCACAATTTAAAAAATGATGCGTAGAAGGGCCCATGGACAACGCTGTCCCTCCCCAGTTCCTCCAAAGGTCTCTGGGCTGGCCCAGGACATTTTGGAGCTTGAAACAAAATGCCCTGCCACCACCCTCCCCCTGCAGATCTGGGACCACAGCACCTTTGCCTTTGCTGTTGCTGTGCCTCAGCACCCACCGTAAGGAGATAAAATAGTCTCAAAGATGCTTTGGAGGGAAGCATGCTTTAAATGCATGGTGTGTACATACCGTATTTTTCGCTCCATAGGGCGCACCGGACCATAGGACGCACCGACCCCTCTCGCTCTCCAGGCTTCAGCGAAAGCCTGCATTCACTCCATAGGACACACACACATTTCCCCTTCATTTTTGGATGGGGAAAAGTGCGTCCTATAGAGTGAAAAATACGGTAGTTATGTCGCAGGGAAAAAACAAAAGCAGTTGTGATGACTTATATGAAAGATGTCAAATTCCACATTAGGGCCGTACTATGCTAGGCCAGTCAAAATGTTCCGAAAGGGTATGCAAGCTTTCCAGTTCTCTGGAAGACTTCATTGGGTTGATGGTAAACAAAACAAGGTTGGTTTTGGACTAAGACTCTTAGTTTTTGCTAAAGATGGAGCTTCTAACACGATTATTTATTTTTATTATTTTTACAGTGAGGGGAGGGAGTCCCCTAATTTCCTGGATTTAGTGAAAGTTTGAATTAATTAAGGTTTGATTCAACTTCGCCAAACACAGAAACCCCAGGATTTAGTTATGCTAAATGAAGGGCAGTATACTAGTACTACTACTACTACTACTAATAGTAATAATGACGCTGGGGGTCTCAAGAGTTACCCTGAGCTTATTTACTGAGTTGCTTCCAGTCCAGCCTCAGAACGCCAAGGCTGCAGTCCTGAACCCACTTTCCTGGCTGGGAGTGATCACTCTCAAGGCTCATCTGGAGCCATGCCTAGATAAATCCAGAACTGCATTGCCAATCACATTTGGGACAAGGAGACAGGCTGAAAGTGAATGGTGCCCAATGGCCATTGAAAGGCATTGGTGCCCTTTTGGTTGGCTACAGGTAAACATCGCATTTCAGGATGTGTGCGGCTCAGAGAAATTGGGGTTGCCCAGAGGACGGGCTTTAGGGGCCTTCCACAAGCAGCCAGGCAAGAAAGAGCTGAACAAAATAACTATTTATAGACTAATACAATCTTTCTCACATTAATTCTTACAAGTCTGGCTGATGAAGAATTGATCAAGATTGGCTGATGAAGCATTTAACGAAACAGATTGGTTATCCGGAAACTGTTCCGGCGATATTTGGTGACAGATTATGTATATATCAAACTTTTGAATTATTCTACCGCGACTGGTGAAGAAGATTTAGAGACTTTGGTTGCAATTTCTGATCATTTGTATTAGTCTATAAATAGTGTTGAGTGCCATTGTTATTGGCCATCGTGTTGTGTTATTTTGTTCGGCTCATTCAGGCAAGAAAGCGTTAGCATTGGGATGGCAGGTGGCCTACATTAGGGTGGGTCTGGATCCTGCACCTCGATCCTCCAGCCTCTCAGTTAAAGCACACCCTGACGAGTGACTTTTTGGGATGGCTATAAGAACTGCATTAGGATGGCTTGAATCCTGAGCCATGATAAAGTTTAGACTTTAAAAACTAAATATATTTTTGTGTTGCTTTCTAATGGCTGTTTGGGCAGGTAATATTTTGTGTGTTTGTAGATGGTTCCTAAAATCCACTGTGTCTCTGGCTGGTGAGCTTATGGGTCCAACAATAGCTGCTTCTAGGATCTTTTCCTTCTCTTCAGGGAAATAATCCGGGTTGCCCTATCTGGCAGTTTAACAGTCCAGTTCTATTTTTAAAAAAATTCCACTCCCTCCTGATTGATTAACACTCCATGAGCTCTGATTGGCTTCTACGGTATCCAATAGGACAACCCATGGTCTGTCAGCGGTGGTCGGGTCCAGAGGCAATAGTGAGTGGGGCAACAAATGTCAGTTCTGCCTTTGTGCAGTAGGCTAGTAGGCATTCACACACCGCATCATGTGCCTGTAGAGAAAGGCTAGAAACGACACAAATATAAATGAACAAGTTGGACTTGCAGCAAAATGTTAACATGTGGTGTGTGCCAGTGTTCCAACCAGCCACCCAGCCATGGCCTCTCTCAGAATATCCCATTCTGTCTCTCCCCCCGCCCAACCCAGTTTCCTAGGATTTTCCCCTCCAACACTCAGTCAGCATTCTGTGGCTCAGTCCTTTTCCAGGGGATTTAAAAACATTTTTTTGCACTTCTGCAAACCTTGCTTTTCCTTGCTCACACCTCCCTCTTGTGTGGAAATGTTGTCATTTTAGTTTGGAAGTCAGAAACTGTTAGTCTATATCCAGGATGGGGAACTTGTAGCCCTCCAAATGCTGGACTCCCAACTCCCATCATCACTGGACATGATTTTCAGGACTGATGAGAGTTGGAGTCCCAATATCTGGAAAACCACAATTTCCTCATATAGAATTTACAGTGTTATGAGTTTGCGGGTGCCAGACACCCTAAATTCCTGGGTCGAGTAGGTGTTAGAATTTAATCAAGGCTTGGAGTGTTAAAGCAGGGTGCTAGACATGAGTGTATTAACTCTACCAGGGACCATGAACTTGCTTCATTTATTTATTTATTATTTACACCATTAAATTACATGGCACATTTAATCAATGGAATTAAAGAATTCACAATTAAATCAACAGTAGTTAATTTCATTTTAGCAGTAATTTTTAGACAAATAATGCAGCTGTTGCAGGAAAGATTTTTTTCATGGGGGGGGCATCAATACAGCTCCTTGCCAAGGCCGCAAGGGACCCTAAGCACACCTCTGAATGCAAATCTAGGAGAGAAGGGAATTGGGGGATGGGGGAGAGAAAAGAAATTCAGAATGAGTGGAAGGAAAGACAGTAACCCCCTGAATTATTTTTAAAAGCAACCAGATTCTACAATGCATGTAAATAATACCTTTTTGCATAGTTTATTCCAGTAATATGCTGAATAGATCAGTCGGTAGAGCATGAGATTCTTAATCTCAGGGGTTGTGGGTTCAAGTACCACATTAGGCAAAAAATATTCCTGCATTACAGGGGGTTGGACTAGATGACCCATGTAGTCTCTTCCAATTCTACAATTCTATGATTGTATGAAAAGGATTTATCTCTGAATGTGGTGAGTGAGGGTTTTTTTGTGTGAGGGGTGCTGTTTTAAATTGAATGCACACTGAAGCATCAATGTTGTTGTTGTTTAGTCGTTTAGTCGTGTCCGACTCTTTGTGACCCCATGGACCAGAGCACACCAGACACTCCTGTCTTCCACTGCCTCCCGCAGTTTGGTCAGACTCATGTTGGTAGCTTCGAGAACATTGTCCAACCATCTCGTCCTCTGTCATCCCCTTCTCCTTGTGCCCTCCATCTTTCCTAGCATCAGGGTCTTTTCCAGGGAGTCTTCTCTTCTCATGAGGTGGCCAAAGTATTGGAGCCTCAGCTTCACGATCTGTCCTTCCAGTGAGCACTCAGGGTTGATTTCCTTAAGAATGGATATGTTTGGTCTTCTTGCTGTCCATGGGACTCTCAAGAGTCTCCTCCAGCGCCATAATTCAAAAGCATCAATTCTTCGGCGATCAGCCTTCTTTATGGTCCAGCTCTCACTTCCATACATCACTACTGGGGAAACCATGGCTTTAACTATACGGACCTTTGTTGGTAAGGTGATGTCTCTACTTTTTAAGATGTTGTCTAGATTTGCCATCGCCTTTCTCCCAAGGAGCAGGCGTCTTTTAATTTCGTGACTGCTGTCACCATCTGCAGTGATCGAAGCATCAATAGATTTAATAAATTACCCAGAATACTTGCATGTAACCCACGAATAGTAATCAGATTAGAGTCTTCTCTTAGTTTAAGGAATCCTGCAGATGACAATTTTGTTCAGCATTCATGCTGCTTTGCTTGCGTAAAGCTTACATAGTGGTTAGACTGTGTTCCGTGTTTTTTGAGCATTCATCCTGATTTGCTTGTGGGGTGTTTGTATGTCTTCTTATTAATCATTAGTTCATCCTACAGTTTTCAATGCATTTCCCTGTCACTTTCCAAAGTGCAGAAAGTCTTTTTTTTTTTAAAGTGGATTTGTTTCAATAGAGCAATCGAGCACTTTAATTGTGAAAACCCTAGAATTTTCAACTGGAGAAATAAAAATTGAAAACCACCCTAGTAATGTGGTGGCGGAGAAAGATGAGGAGGCATTCCAGTTAATCCTCCCTAAAGCATTCCAGAGATTGCAACCATATGTTGCTGCTCAAAAAGTGTCAACCTTATCCACGTTTTAAAAATTCCCACCCACTCTTTAGCTGCCAAACAGCATAGCTAATTCTACCAACTGCAAATCTTAAATCTGTATAATTAACCTAGAACTTCAAAGCTACGCAGGAACAACTGCATAGTTGGGAACCATCTTCCAATGTTATCTAGCCCATCCCACTGTCAGCAGGATTTCTTGGGGAATATATCCACACCCCCAATAGGCTTTCCTGCATACACTCCTTCCATTGAGTTCAATGGAGTTAACAGTAAAGCTCAGCTCCAGTCTGTATGATAGGCAGTCTGTAAGAGGCAGCTTGATTAGCTGGGCTATGTATAAAATCAGCTGTGGACCTGAATGGGGCAAGTCACCACCTCTCAGCCTAACCAACTTTACAGGGTTGCTATGTGGATAAAAGATGGGGGGGAGAGACTTGTATGCTGCCTTGAGTTCACTGGAGGAAGGATCCTGTTTCCTGTCCATACATGATCAAAACAGAACAGATCATCCTACAGACTATGCTTGACTACAGTGGCTTCAGACTGGGTATCTCTCTAGCTAAGGCTGCTCACAGATCTGGTCTGGCCTGGACAGTTTCCTTTGATGTATGAGATTACAAATTCAGTCTTAGGATCTCTAATTAAAGGGGATCATGTAAGAAGAGGTAGGAAAACCTGCCACCATAATAAGCCAGAATAGACCATACTGACTAGATGGGCCAGTAGCCTGGTTCTGTATAGCTTTGATCATACTGGTTGTAAAACAGGGCAAAGCCTCTTTTTAAAAATATCAAGTTGGTGCACTGGTTGGCCCTGTTTTTTAGGAGCTTCAGAAATAAAAGTTTTCATCTGCTGCAATCGACCCTGTAATAATTCTTCACCAGCAATCTTTTTCGGAACACACTAATCAGAAATAGTGCCCACTTGAAATTGGCAAGGTGTCTTCTAAATTATTGATGCAATAGACCAAGACACCCTCTTGTGCAAGTTCTGCCAAAACAAATGGGAGAAAGAGCTGGAGCTGACCCCAGATTGCAGTCAGGTTGTTAATGAATGTACTGAAAATCCATCTGCTTTTGGTCCTCAAGAATAGGTTGCAGAGGAGTGGAAAAACTGAAACGTTTGTTAGCATTCATATATCTCTCCAACCACTCTTTGGGATTTTCCTGCAGCAATACTCCTTCATCATCATCATCATCATCATACTTAATGTGTATATAACACTTGAGAGGTCATTATCTCAGTAATTATGCAGCTATAGAAAGCATCTGAGCCCTGTATAATCTATACTGAAGATATTTGGGGCTCAATGTCGGGGAGCTGTTAACGCTGCCAATTTAAAGAAGAGCAAAATTGCTACTCCAAACGGTATTCAGTACAAATTTGTGCGTGGATGAGGAATTGAGGTGTGATTGTTTGTTCAACGTCTTGGGAAGATAGGAAGAGCATAGTAGCCAGCTAAGGTATTGGAAGAAGGAGAATAAATCGTGAGACAATTTCCTTGTGCTAGGCAGAGATTCTTGAGCAGCTAGCTAGTTGAAGCTCCTAAATGCCTTCATGTCTACACTGTACTGCGTCTTAGATTTGAATAGCTCCTGAGGTTCCCCCAAGGATTAAAAATAATAAATGGGGCGGAGAGAGCTTGGAATAGCAGACATTTGTGGCATGTTACAATCGGGGGGTTTTTTTGTTGGGTTTGGAGTTTTTTTTGGAATAGAGACAGGTTTGGAAATGCAAGATCTAACCATCACATTATTAGAAAGAGGAGAGGTTGCTGCTATGAAGCGTAATGCAGCAGTCGGTGTGTGTATTAGGCTATTTTGCATATTGCCTTTTGGGGACAGGAGCTGTTGTAGACTTCACAAAGGTTTGCAAATAGCTTTGGAACAGGAGTGCTATAGCAACATCCTGGCTTTTTGTCCATAATATTTTCCTGCCCGTTCCATAACAGATGTCGCCTTGCCGTTGTCGGGAACGTGGGACATTAGGACCCAGAGGCTGCTGAACAGGAGAGGCAGAATTGCTTCTCTCTTTTGTCATCTTCCCTTGCCTCTGCAGCCTTCCTCTCCTGATCTCCTTCAATGGTGACTGACCATCTCTTACACAGCCAGGGAGCCAAACCACGGTAGGACCAGACCCGATGGCCTCTCCCAGGACTATAACAATTGTAGCCCTCTCGGTAGCCTTGGGGCTCTTCTTCGTCTTTATGGGGACCATCAAACTGACCCCCAGGCTCAGCAGAGATGCCTACAATGAGATGGTGAGTAGTACATCTGGGGTGGGAGACATCTTACTGCCAGTACTGGCTGGCATTCATCCTCTTGCAGCCGCTGCTGTCTGTTTCTATTTGCAAGTAGTATCAGCCATGTAAAAAGAAGGCAGCTGTTGCTGTGAATGTGCCAAGGGTGGGAGAAGAGAAACAAATGGGTACCACAGAATGACATCCTCATCCTTATTTGGCTGGGAATAGAGATCAAGAAGCCTGAACCTCCCTTTGCGGCTGCTGAAATTATATTTCTTGTTAGCTGGTGGTTTGGCTCCTGTGGCATTCATTTCTAAGGCTGCCCTCCACCCCCACAGCAAAAGCACCTATAAATTGAGAAGGGCTGCTGGAACAGGGGTGAACAGGATGGGGGAGAGCTCTGCAAAAAGATAAATGTGTCTGATCTGAGAAGACTCGATCACAACATGGGTGCATTTTTCCCATCAAGTGAAGTGGCGTGGAGGGTGGCAGTCCCAAGTGTTTTTTTAGGATTGTGAGCAAGGTAACATAGGGCACTGGATCCCTGTTCCCTCTCCTCAAAATGATCTAAAGTGGATCACCTTCCCAGGCGAAGGACAGAACCAGCCCAACAGAACAAGGCAGCTCATGTCAGGGCATGAATTCTGAGTACCGTTTAAAGGCCACAAACTGTAAAATTATTTAGCATATTGCCATTCTGTGGGGTATTGTGGATATTTTGCTGAAAGTACCAAAATGTATTGGGTCAACTCTGTCAAAGGGTAATATGATTTTGTCCGCTGCCTGCCCTCTAATTTCTTTTCCAAGAGAAGGTTCTGGAAAATGACAAATGTGGGTCCTTCATAAACCTGGGATTTCTGGCTGAGATGCTGCCAGTCTTCCAGTTAGTCAACATGCTTCCATTTCCTCCTGTTTCTTGCCTATAATTCATCCACCGGCGAGCCCCACCTATGTTGCGATGCAGGCAACCAAAGTGTGACTGCCCATCATTTAGTCTTCCTGCTGCTACCACCTCAGCTATGTTTTGCCCATCTATCCTAAATACATTATTTCTTTATGAAAATGGCTAGAGTTTCTTGGAAGTCCCAAGAAACAACTATGAAACTTTCTGACGTGTTCTAATTTTTCCTTGCCTTGCTACACAATCTGGAATATCAGGGGGGATCTAGATCTCATCCACTCTGCTTGTGCCAAGCTGCCTCCTTGAAGGACTGGCAAAATACTCTGGAACCCTCAAGTAAAGGGCAGCCATAGGAATGTTCAGTTATGTCAGGCTGGCTGTAAAGCACAAATCTCACCAGCACTGTACTTCATTTCTTACCCTTTCTACCCTTAGCCTCTTATTAATGAGATTTCAGTATCATTAGCATCAGTGACCTCATCAACACAGTCTTTGGTTTAATGAGGCTTTTTGTGATGGCCCTTTAAACAAATGCACAAACAAACAACCCTTTTCATCAGTTATGTTACCGTCTAGAATTATTGTTAGACAACTTTGGTTTTAACAATATCTCAGAAGAGCCAGCTGCAGATTTCATCTCCCTGCTTTCCTATTCTTCTGCATCTGCCTGCTTTGCATCTTATTTTGAAAATCATGCAACATATGTCTTAGTTTGCTTTTTCCTTTTACTAATAATCCTAATCTCATTAATAATAATAATATCAATATTAATAGAAATAATAATAATAATATCAATATTAATAGAAATAATTCCCATTATTTTCCGGCTGCCCATTATTTTCCTTATAAGCAAGATACAGTGGTACCTCGGGTTACATACACTTCAGGTTACACACTCCTCTAACCCAGAAATAGTGCTTCAGGTTAAGAACTTTGCTTCAGGATAAGATCAGAAATCGTGCAGTGGCGGCGCGGCAGCAGCAGGAAGCCCCATAAGCTAAAGTGGTGCTTCAGGATAAGAACAGTTTCAGGTTAAAAACGGACCTCTGGAACAAATTAAGTACTTAACCCGAGGTACCACTGTACCCAACTAACAGATGCTTGGAATTTGCAACATGGTCTGCTTTTCAGTTTGAACTTGTAACTTTCAGATAAGAAAGGTGGCAGAGAGCAGTATTAGAACCTTAAACCAAGGTTGCAGTCGCTAAAACAGGTTGCAGTTGCGAGTTGCCATGTTTGAGCAAAACGGTTCTGAAATCTTATTTTTCAAATGATGGACTGACTGTGATTGATTCTCAGGAAAACAACTGGCTAGTTCAGATGACAACCTTGAGCTAGTTTAAGAACTTTGAGAACTTAAAGAAAAAAGTCATTTGAACCAGGGATAGTCCATGTATATATTCGAACCTTTTTTTCTTAATGGTGATTGCTCCTGCTCTGGCTGCACAGAAAAAGCAAGTTGGTTCCAGAAATTCATTCTGATTGTGCAGAAAAAAATGTAAAACAGTCCAGATACAATGATCCTCAGATGGTGAAGGTGTCAGGTGCCATCCTGGCACCCAGGTATCTTCACTTATTCACAAGTGGTCGAAAGCCAGGTGCAAAATGCTCCTTGCACCTGGCTAATTTCGAACATTGGCAGAGAGTGCAGATTGCTCTGACTGTTACTCTTACTATGACCCTTAACTCTCTTTTCAGATAACTTCTTCCTTCTGATTACTCCTATGATGTGTGTGTTACATTTGGGGAGCTTTCTCCAAGTGAGAAAGTCAAAGGTTCCCCCAAATGAGTGGTATGCATTATTTCATAACTAATGAAGAACTGAACAGAATCAGTGCCATTTTCTTCTTAAATGAATGCCAAGAGTAATAGACAGAGCTGATTTCGTTCATTCATTCATTCATTCATTCATGGCATTCATTTCCCCATATCTTTAGATAAAAAGGCCCCTAGGGTGGCTTACTTACAATTAATTAAAACCTATGCACCCTTGTAGGGACGTGCGTGGCACTGTGGGTTAAACCACAGAGCCTAGGGCTTGCTGATCAGAAGGTCGGCGGTTCGAATCCCCGCGACGGGGTGAGCTCCCGTTGTTCAGTACCTGCTCCTGCCAACCTAGCAGTTCGAAAGCATGTCAAAGTGCAAGTAGATAAATAGGTACCACTTCGGTGGGAAGGTAAATGGCGTTTCTGTGCGCTGCTCTGGTTCGCCAGAAGAGGCTTAGTCATGCTGGCCACATGACCTGGAAGTTGTACGCCGGCTCCCTCTGCCAATAAAGCGAGATGAGCGCCACAACTCCAGAGTCAGCCATGACTGGACCTAATGGTCAGGGGTCCATTTACCTTTTTATGCACCCTTGTGTTTGTCCCGTGTTTGTTGCAGAATCGGATCAAGCATCCATCAGCGGAATGAAGTTTTTCCAATTCAGCAGTAAATAGTGGGTTATTCCTGAGGAAAGTGGCAGGCCCAAAAAACCCAACCCACCTCTCGGAACCAAAGTCACTTCAAAATTCAGGACAAACAGAAGCATGGATGGGCCCTAAAACAAGAGAAACTCTGCCCACAGGTTTACAATATAAACAAACACAGCACGCAAGAGAAAAGGGACATGGAGGGAAGATGAGATGGGGAATCAAATTCAGGCATCAGTTCTTGAACACTTGTTCTTATAACTAGTAGCTGGCCCAGTTCAGGGGTTGGAGGTGCCTGATGGAGCTTGTCTGTCACAGTAGAGCTCTTGGAGTGAGCTCTGCTTCTCACCTCTCCCATTGAGTAGGCTGATGGAATGGTTGCTCCCAGGTGACAGTTGAATGAAAGGAGGCCTAATGGTGCTATTTTTTGTGACTTCATCCCTGCGCCTCACCTTTTTTTGGTACAACAAATGCCTTCAGGTAGCTGCCAATCTATTTCCCCAGATTCTGCAGATATTCTTGTTGGTTCAAGGAAAAAAATATAGGCCTTAAGAATAATTTCTGGATGCCCAGATCCAAGTTTGAGGTAAATCCAAGTTTGATGAGAGAACCCCCAACAGAAATTTAAAATCACAAAACATGCTGCAAAGTAAAGTGTGGAAATATAGGCTGTTAGACCTTTAAAATATCCCCTTACGAGTTCCTTCCAAAGTTTCTCTCTTCCCCCAGCATAGAAAAAGACCACACATTTGGAAAGTTAAAAATAGTATACTTACAAGCTCTCCAAAGGTCAGGTTTATGTGCTTTTCCATACAGCATTTACAAAAAGTTGTGCAGGCAGTAAAACTTGGCTTAGTTATGGTAGTGAAAGTTCCTAAATTATTTGTATCAGAACTCAAGAATGGCTTGTGAGAGCCATGTAGTCTGAATTTGGAGCAACCAGCTCAGACCTCTACACATGGTGAGCTTCACAGGTAGATTGGAGGGTGAACGATAGGCTTGATTGCCCATTTCCTCCCAAGGTAAGGGAAGTTCACCTAGCTAAGCCTGACAGGACAGCTTACTCTATGGTCTTAACCCCTTCATGCATTAATTAGACTTAAGTATGTTGGTTATATGGGACGCAGGTGGCGCTGTGGGTTAAACCACAGAGCCTAGGACTTGTCAATCAGAAGGTCGGCAGTTCGAACCCCCGAGACAGGGTGAGCTCCCGTTGCTTGGTCCCTGCTCCTGCCAACCTAGCAGTTCGAAAGCACGTCAAAGTGCAAGTAGATAAATAGGTACCGCTCTGGCGGGAAGGTAAACGGCCTTTCTGTACGCTGCTCTGGTTCGCCAGAAGAGGCTTAGTCATGCTGGCCACATAACGCGGAAGCTGTACGCCGGCTCCCTTGGCCAATAAAGCGAGATGAGCGCCACAACCCCAGAGTCGGTCATGACTGGACCTAATGGTCAGGGGGTCACTTTACCTTTACCTATCTTGGTTATATGAGGCTGGTTATCCCACAATTTCATCATACCAGGACATTTGGAGATGGGGTGGGGTGGGAATGGCAGCCTTCAGTGCAGTCAACCAATTTTGTGTGTGTGTTGACCATCAAAAAATCCAAGGCTTTCTGGGAAAAGAATACGACAGCCTCCAAAAGGACATCTGTTGTTGTTGTTGTTGTTCCCCGTTCATGGGGAAATGACGTTGCAGGCTGGGAGCAAGTCCTACCCACACGCATGGGGAGAGATAGCCCCTGTGCCATTGGGGGGTCCTCGGCCGTGTCATCCCTGGCTGAGCAATCCAGACGGTCCGGGGCATGGCGTGGGCTATTTAAACTGCCCGTGACCGAGGACTCGCCCCCTTTTCTTCCTGCTCGCTCAGTTCTCTTGCCCTCCCTCACTAAGGTTAGGCTCATTATCTCTTGACCTTGCTATGGACCTCGGTTGGTCACCTGTCAAAGGGGCCTGGTAGGAATTTTTTTCCACTTGGAAAACTGGCACCGGCCATTTGGTTTTTTGCCTACCTTGTAGCAAATCGTCACAACTTTGTAAGGTTTGGTGGTTAGGCATTGGAGTGTTTGGTTGAAGGAGAGGGAAAGTAGTGGGCATCACCTAATACCCCTTCTAATTCAAGGGTATTCCGTTAAAGGAATCCGAGGGGCGTGGTCTCTGTCCGAAGCCCCAGACAGGGAGCTAGGGTCATGGCATGACCCCTAGTGGCGATCCTGGGGGAGTTCCTAGTTGATGTGCATCAGCAGGGCTCCCCCTACTGGTGGTTCACCCTTCCAAGACTTCCTGTGGATGCACAGGAGTCAGATATAGTCGTGTGGTTTCCAATGCCTAAGCCAATACCACTCGCATTCTGTAACTAATAATGTTGTGGCCTTTTTCACCTTTTAACCCAAAATACTGTTTCATGTGTCTTTATTTCAACAAGGTACTCTTACCTGTACTTACCAACTTGAAAGCATTTGGCCATCTCCCCCCCAAGGTGATTGTGTGTATGTGTGAGAGAGCGAACTTAGACAGATTCTACCAGGTGTGGATGTGGAGTCCACTACAGGGTAAGGTGTTAAGCTTCTAATCTCCTTCCTCTGTTTTCGGACCTGGATGGTGGATAGTGGATGGGGGATGGTGGACCCACACATGGTAAATGTTGTTGAATAATTTCAGTTGTGTATGTGCTGTAGGGTTTGTGTGTCTGCATCTTGTTTGACCTAGTGTTATAAGTAATAAAACTGCTCCTTTCCCCTTATGGGTTACACAAGAGCCTATATAGAGTCCTATTGTAGGTTCTGTATCGGTAGGAGAAAATAACAGAGACCAACCAGAGAATATTGAGAAGCAAAGCAGCTAGTAAGCCTGATCTTTATTAATGGCTGCAACAGGGTTCTCCCCCACACGCAAGAAAGAGGAGGAGGACCCAGAACAAAGGTATGCCCGCCCTTATATAGACATTTTAAATTGCCCACCCTAGAGTCCAAGACTACCCCCCAGAAACATCATACATTCATCACAGAAGGGGTGTAGCCCAAGACAACCCCCCAGATACATCATACATAGGTAAAGGTAAAGAGACCCCTGACTGTTAGGTCCAGTCGTGGCCGACTCTGAGGTTGCGGCGCTCATCTCGCTTTACTGGCTGAGGGAGCCAGCGTACAGCTTCCGGGTCATGTGGCCAGCATGACTAAGCTGCTTCTGGCGAACCAGAGCAGCACACAGAAACGCCATTTACCTTCCCGCCAGAGCTGTACCTATTTATCTACTTGCACTTTGACGTGCTTTCGAACTGCTAGGTTGGCAGGAGCAGGGGCCGAGCAACGGGAGCTCAGCCCGTCACATCACACCTACGTCACAGAAAAGGCGGTCTACAACAGAAATCTGAGTGTGTTGTTTATCTCCTGTCTGGCAAGTTATCTGATTGCATTATCTGGATTTTGACCACTCCTTTGTTATTATAACTACTTAATTCCTGAATCTAGGTCACAGGCCCACACCCTGTTCATATCTTGAATGTGCCCTTAAGACAGGATTTGTGAGGAAAGAGACAATGGGGAGGTTTCCCACTTTGACCTTGCAGAGAAATAGTTGAGGTCAATTTGTTCAGGACCTTTTCTATGGGGTTTCAGACATGTGGTTTATATATACAGTTATGAACATTTATTTTTTATATATATGACCTTAAAATTCTTATAACACTAGCAATGTGAAATGAGGATGTTAGTGATTCTGAGCATGTGTAGAATGAACAACAATCTGTAGGGCAGCCAGTTTCCTTTTTCCTGAAATGGGGATAAGGCTTCGCGATCAAAAGGTTATTTTCCTGGTCAGTTTAGGAACTGGTACCTCTTTTTTGTTGTTGTTGGGGACAAAATTAATCAAGAAGAGAAACACAATATTGCAAACTAAGGACAGAAAAAAAATCTATTGTTTTGGGAATATGGGAGTTAATCTGGTTAAATCAGCAAAATAAATCTTAGGCTGCAATACTAGTTCCACGCACATGAGAGCAAGCCCTACTGAACTCCACTGGACTTACTTATGAATAGACGTGTTTAGGTTTGTACTGTTAGTTGCTTAATTGTAGGAACTTCAATTATTTTAAATCGGGGAATTTCTTTATTTAAATCTGCATATGTTGGTATCTGACAAAAATAATTTTTCTAAAAGGAAATTGAGGTCCTCTAGATGTTGCTAGGCTACAACTCTTAGCCTTAACAATAACAGTCAGGGATCAAAGATGATACGAGTTGCAGTCCAGCAACTTTTGGAGGGCCATAGGTTCCCCGTTCGTGTTATTTGTTGTTAGCCACTCTGAATACATTAGTAAAAAAGCAGAATGGCAATAATAATAATAATAATAATAATAATAATAATGCACTTTGTATTTATATGCCGCCTCCCTAAATATTCAAAACACTTCTCTAGCTCTGAAATCTACCTTTATATTCCTAGTGGTTAAGTGAATGGGGATTCAGTACTATGGGACTAAATTTTGAAAATATGGATTGTAGACCCTACAGATGGGCAGTTTTCAGGTTTCAAAAGTGGGTTGTGTGCTGTAGGTGGGGTTGCAATCCCTCTGCAGAGGAAGGTGTTTGGGGGCACTCCATTCATCTCCATCACTATTGGCTCAGGTGAACTCAGTGGCTTGAAGTTTCCACTACCAACTTTGACAATTCCTGAACAGGGATAGTCTTGCCACAATGGACTATATGTTGGTAACCTCATCATTAGACTACTGTAATGTGCTATAGGAGGGGCTGCCCTTGTACTTGGTTCAGAAGCTCCAGTTAGTGCAAAATGTAGCTGCTAGAATGCTTAGTGGGACACTTAGCTATGCAAATATTATTTTATCAGCACTGTGAGATCAGTGGTGCTTCCCTGTTTTGTGGAACATTCTCCCCAGGAGGACATGCTTGGTTCCACCACTATCAGTTTTTATTCATCCAGCTTTTGAACCCTATTTTGGAAGGTGATGTATGTTTGCAGCCTCTTCTTCTGCTCATCTTTTTAGTGAGTTGGGCTAGATCAGCCCTGATTTACATGTTACTGGTGGGCATGTAAGGGTGTTTTTACACTTGCTTGTATACATGTTTACAATGTGAGTTTCTGTAAGTCACTTTGAGTCACTTTTGTGAAAAAACATGCAGAAGGAGGAGAAACAGCCACAGCTATTGAGCCAAGTTCAATATTTGTTGTTGACTTTTGAAGTCTTCGAGAACTTGGGCCCACACTACCTAGCTGGCTACTTCTTCTGTTACAGAACAAGCTTATATTTCATATATTCCAAGGAGACCTTGCAGGTCACTTTACAAATGGTGGATTGTCACTTGGCAACAGTGTAGAAATGGGCTTTCTCAGTGATAGTACCTAACCTCTGGAATGCCCTCCTTCAGGCTGGAGGCAGCAAAAACTTTTAAATTCCTCATAAAAACTTACATGCTTACTTCAGCTTTCTTGAGCTCTGATTCTTACTTTGTAATTTGTTTCCCCCCCCCCCATGCATATATTTGTGACATATGGTTTTTAGGAAATGTTATTCTATTTTTATTGTTTTTACATAACCTGCTTACATATTTTCAGTGTATTAATCAGTACAACATTTTATAGTCAATTATTAATAGCCAGGGGAGAAAGACTCTGCCTCAGTGCATGACACAGGTGACTGAGAGCTCTTCAACACTATGATGGAAGAAACTGAATATAATATGGAAAATCCCATCTCTGCCTGTGCTAACAGCTTCTTTTTATCTGACGAGTGGCTTTGCTTTATTATGGGCAAGACTGATCTTCCTCTCACAGCTTTAATCAAGTAGAAGCTGTACTCCACTTAGAGCCTGTATATTCAGATGGGGGGGGAGAGAATCTGTATGTCAGATCCCAATCAGTACTGAATCCCATGTTGTTGCTGCTTTTATTTCAGAAACGAGCCTACAAGAGCTATATCCGTGCATTGCCCATGCTTAAGAAGATGGGGGTCAGCTCCATCATTCTCCGCAAGAGCATTGGAGCCTTAGAGGTGGCCTGTGGTATTGTCATGACACTCGTCCCTGGACGCCCCAAGGACGTGGCTAACTTTCTGCTGCTGCTGCTTGTTCTGGCTGTGCTTTTCTTCCACCAGCTGGTGGGTGACCCACTCAAGCGCTATGCCCATGCCCTGGTCTTTGGGATCCTGCTTACCTGCCGCTTGCTGATCGCCCGTCAGCCTGAGGAGCAGTTGCCAGAGAAGAAGACCCTTTCGGTGAATGGAGAGGAGCAGCCACCTCTTGCGGAGGCAGCCCCAGAAAAGGGAAAAATCAAGGTGTCCTAGTGGGAAGCCTATGAGGGACACACGGGGACCTTCCAAGCAGCTCTCTCCAAAACCTGAAAAGATTTGCATTTCTTTTTCTTTTTGTGGTTTTTGTAAAGGGTTACCTTTTGGAGCATGGGGAAAACCTTAATCTGCCGGCTCCACAACAGCTTGGCTTGTGCACTCCAAACCTCTAGAGCTGCTCTCTCCTGTGTCCCACACACATGTAGACATGACTTAATTTAATGGTTCTAGAGGGGAATAAATGTACCATGTGGTGTGTGTGTGCGTGTGTGTGAGAGAGACTGAACTGCTTAACTTGAACTGCCTCTGCATCCGTCTGTATTCTTCAGAGGCAAAAGGCATGGGAAGTTCCAACCCTGTGCTTGCTCACCTTCCCAGTACTTTGCCCCTGTTTGCCTAGCATCTAGCACTGGAGTGACAAACTTTTTTTTTCCTGCTTCAAATGAGCCAAGTGGTGCATCCCACCCACCTATCTCAGCAGAGAATGCTGTATACCCAAGAATAAACCCAGCAGTCATTCCCCAAACCCTTTCTACTCCCAATTCTCACTGTCTGCTGCTGTCAAAAGATCAGGGACTGCTCACTGTCTGCCTACACATAAAACTGCTTTTTCAGCCATCCATTCACTCTAACTTTAAATAAGTGACAGGTTACTGTGGGTGGGTGAAGGCTTGATGCTAAGAACAGGATTCATTTTCCATCCAACATGGGAATCTACTGATGAGCCAAGACATAGTCAGGTCCCTGTTAAGAAGCTGCTTCAATTGTTTTAGTGTTGAGCTTGGAGGGCAAATAAACAGAAAGGTTAAACTGTCCTGGGAAATACGGTTTTTAAATGGTATGTTGCCTTTTTTGGTATTGTCTGGTTTGCATTCTCCACCTCCTCCTCCCTTTCTTTGCCCTCCCCATTAATTTATAAAAATAAACTTTTTGAAATTTGAAGGAAAATGTCTTTGTAAATAGTTGATTTTTCATGTGTGTGAAACATACTTAGGATTGAAATGCCTTGCATCTGCCTGTGACTTCCAGCTTGCTATTAGTAACATGATTATTTATTCTTGGATGATAGAGGGAGTAAGCCAGGAACCCCTCAAATTATATGGGGCCATGGATTCTTTCAACTTGCTATGAGCTCTAATGCGACTTCTCTGAGTACTGGGGTTGTTATACTAGAACAAGCCCTTAAGATGATATTCCTGGATAAGGGAAGAATCAGGGCTTCAACACAATAAATGCTGCTGGTGAATTTTCCACCTGAAAAATGACTATGTGAAAGGACTGTGTGACCAACTCTGTGTGACGCAGACTCCATGCTGCAGAGGTAGAAGAGGCCCCATAAGCAATGGTCATTCATCTACAGCAGGGATGGGCTAAGCTTGAGAGACATGGTCCACATTTCCTTCCCTTCACTGCTGGATGGGGAAAATATGGAATATGCATTCACAGCAAGCTTGTGAGCCAGGACCTTCCCACAGCACTGTACCTAAAGACTTAATATGGCAACAAACCCAGGTCAGTGAAGAATCCAGCTCATGTATGTCCAGATGGTAACATTAAAGAATTCAAATGATTACTCTAGACCAGTTGATTTTGAACTATTTTGTTAGAATCTCTGGGGTTTAAAGTTTATGGGGATCTTGACTTTTTCAGTCACTTTTTCAGTTAGCTCGACTACTACTACCAATTACCTCTTGCAGAGTATAGCCACAAAAGAGTTTTGGGAGAACTGTAGGACAGGCTTGCAGTTCATTCAGGGAAGAAGCAATGGGAGAAGGGCCATAGCTTAGTGGTAAAGCACCTGCTTACATGCAGAATATCTCAAGTTCAATCTGTTGTATCTCCAGGTAGAATGTCTTCTGTCTGAAACCCTGGAGAGTTTTTGCCATCCATTGTAGACAACACTGAGCTAGATGGAGCCATAGTGTGACTCAGTATAAGGCAGCCTCCTATTGTCCAGCAACAAGCCTTTGCCATGCACAGTAAAGGTAAAAGGACCCCTGACCATTAGGTCAAGTCGTGGCCGACTCTGGTGTTGTGGTGCTCATCTCGCTTTATTGGCCGAGGGAGCCGGCGTACAGCTTCCGGGTCATGTGGCCAGCATGACTAAGCCGCTTCTGGTGAACCAGAGCAGCACACAGAAGCGCCATTTACCTTCCCGCTGGAGCGGTACCTATTAACCTACTTGCACTTTGATGTGCTTTCGAACTGTTAGGTTGGCAGGAGCTGGGACTGAACAATGGGAGCTCACTCCATCGTGGGGATTCGAACCGCCGACCTTCTGATTGGCAAGTCCTAGGCTCTGTGGTTTAACCCACAGCTCCAGAGGACTCCTTAAATAAATTTGCCTTTGAAAGGGATGCTGAAAATTAGTCAAAATTAGAAAGCACTGGGACAACAAAACAAAACACTCGGAGACAGTGCCTTTAAAGCACGGACCTGTGCCTAGGAAGCATGGGGCACAAGGTAACTGGATGAGTTCTGAGAGACTGCTGTCCAAAGTACTGAAGGGATTGAATACAAAGACGCAATTTGTTGTAATTTAAGGTGGCATGATGGTGCTTTGAATGTATAAAGCAGATGCGGTCTAACTTGCAGAGTTGCAGAATTAACTGAATTGAACTACTAGAAGAACCAGGACTACATTGGATATAGAACCCAATACAGGAAATGGCTTATGAATGGCCCACCGGTAGAGGCACATTATGCAAAAAGCAGTTTAAAATCAATTCATAGGAAACTGAGCTCCAAAAACCTGCTCTCTGAAATCCTGGAGAACAGCTGTTGGCTATGGCAGACAATACAGAACTAGATGGCTCAGTGGTCTCACTGGGTTTTCAACCCAGAACAGAGCTTAAGCGCCCCAAGAACGAACCAATTTTTAATTCCCAAAACTGTTACTAATCGCAGTTTCGTTTTTAAAACGATAGTAGTTAAAAGCATTTATTTAGGGATTTTCAACGTTCAAAAGCACTTCGTATGCCTTGCCTTGCGTTCTGTGGAACTACGCGAGGGCCTTATTTACACATGGGATTATTCTTCTGAATTTTATAATGGTGCAAACTGCTTGATTTATTCGTGAAATAACGACCGAAAAAGAAAAAAATGACAGCGAGTACAATGACAGAAAAAACAAGGTTTCCTCCCGCCTGACGGAAAGACTGTAAAACGAACCCCTCCCGCTCTGAACCAAAAGCCCGCCCATTTTTTTCCCCCACCATTCCCTTTCATTTGTGAGCATGCGCAGCTCTCCAGTTCCGTTCCCCGCTTACTCTTCGGGAGCCTGCAGTGATATCATCCCCCCGCTCCCTCTACGTTTTTCGTCTGAAGGGAGGGGGCGCGAGCAGTTCGCGCATGCTCATACTGAGACCAGCTCCGCTCGTGCCAACGGTGGGAAGTGACGCAGCCAAAGGGAAACCCGAGCCTTTTCTCCCGAGCGCACCCGCTTCCTTCCTTCTTCCAACTGCCCCGCTCCCGATCGCGAACTGCGCCTGCGCAGGGAAATATTTTTTGAACTGAAGGGCGGCTTCTGAGGAGGGAGTTTTTTGACGGCGCTGGTTTTGACGGTGCGAGCTGGGGAAGGAGCAAAAGGTAGGTGGGCCTTGAAAACTGGAAAATGGCTCGAGAGGACAGCGGAGTGCTGGTGGGAAGGAAGGATTTAATTTTAAAAATATTTTTTTAAAGGGCTGTTTGAGGTGAAGAGAGGTAGGCTGTGGAGCATACCATACTCGGACACTGTAAATACTATTCACTTTAAAGGTAGCCAAACTTTCAAACCCCAACCTCCTCCTCGCCTATGTTGCTTTGCCTATGGCAAGAAAGGAGGTGTTTATGGTCTTCTGTTGTTCATCGGCTCCACATCTGTCCCCTCTGATTCCACTTTGAACAAAAACAACAAGGAAAAAACCCGAAATATCTGTATAATATTTTGTGAACTCTTCCAAAGAAGACTGGGGGGGGGGGGGCATCGCTGAGATACTGGCTCCGTCATATTGCTATTGCCCTGTTGTTGTTATTGGGTTCATTGATGTGCCTAAGGCGCCTTTGTGTGTGTTTTTTTAGAAGGTAGCTCTCCATTCATTTTCTGCACCAAACTTGATTATTGGAGGACAGGAAAATACTAACAAAAGAAAACCCAAAAAAAAGTTGACCTTGTCTTGTGTTTCTTTCCTGGAATAAGAAAAAAATGAAGAGACTCAGGAATTCTGAGGCGCCAGAACATGCTTTGCCAGCTACTGGTAGTAAACAAACCAGAAGTGTCACAAAGCCTAAAGAGATAGAAGATGACCGACTTGCCATTGAAGAAGCCTTGAACTGTTTGAATAAAAGTAAGAACAAAGATAGGGTTTAATGCTTATGCCCCAATCCAGCAAAAAAAGAGAAATTCATGTAAATCTGCTCTTGTATGTTTGTTTCTTGCTGGATCATGAACTGGGAATCAAGCTGGTGCATATCTGAGTGTTAGTACTGTACTGCATTGTTTCCAGTATGATGTGCTTTTGAATGTATATTTTTATTCATATTTTGGCTCAACAAGCCATACTTTAAAATTGTGTTTACATGTAACTAGGGTTGGGTAAGGTCCTTACCATAAGGATTTTAATACTTGGATGCTCAATTGAAGTTTATCCCATTCTCTTCAGCTGTTTAAGGACTGCCCCTCTTTCTGATTTACTGCCTCTGAACTTGGTGCCATTTGCAGATTTCAACATGCTTCTACTTACACTGACCAAAACCATTGGCAATGTTGCTTCATGATCTGATGTGACAGGGAACATAACAAAGGGCAGGACTATGCAAATAGGGGTTGGCTTTCATTGAGTTCTGTGGACACAGTAAAAAAAAAAGCTGCCATCTGGTTTCTCTCTGGATGTTAGGATTGTTGAAAACAGATTTGATCTCTACCGTGACAATCTCTCTCAGCATACCATTTCCCCCCAGATAGGTGGCTACTATTAACTTGTAGGAAGATGTGCTTATTAAGAGTACAACATATCAGTGGGAGCAAAACCCACATTTCTTCCCTCAAGCAGGTTAGTCTAGTTTCTATTCATATGGACTTCTTGGAGTGTGTACTCTTGCAGGGTCTGCTTCCTTGTGAGCAGAAACTATTGCAGATGTATATATTTTGGCAGAAATGGTTCACAAATATGCATGATGGCAAGCAGGCAGACAGTAACAGTTACAAATCAACCTTGGCCCTGCATAGCCTAGAAGCTGTTTCCAACTAGTGAAATAGAAACCTTTCAGCAACCTTTACAGCCATCTGCAAACACCAAAATTTGTATTTTCTTTAGCTTTCCATAGAGAAGTGGCTGTTTTGTATATTGGAGCATAATAGTGTATGAAGTCTAATGTTTTGTTTAAAGCAACCCCTTATTAAGTATCTTGAGCTGAATTGGGCTTGTGCACAGATCTTAGCACACTAACCAACAAACAGGTTAGGGGAACTTCTGGCCCTCCAGACGTTGCTTAACTACCATTCTCATCATCCTGCCCATTGGCAATGCTGGCTGGGGCTGATGAATTTCAATAAAGCTTTAGACTTGCCTCTACCTACCTCTACACCAAATCAAAGAGCAAGAAAGCAGATGGCAAATTAAACAAGAATTCCATAGTTTTACAAATGCCATGGCATCTCAATGGGGCTACCTTGCCAATTGATGGTAAAGCAAGCCATTTGAAAGGCCATCATGCATGAGAATGGTTTTTAGAATGTATTTTACTCACACTTTGACTTTTTTCTAGTTAAAGGTAGTGCCTCAAAAAAGAATAGAGCTTTGCAGGGTCCTTTGAAGACTGTGGAAAAGATTGCACAAGAGAGAGGCTTGGCACCAGAAGAAATTCATAACTTGCTGAACATCACACTCAGTGGCAAGCTTGGTAAAGGAAAAAAAATTTTTCTCTCTCTTTCCCCTTGGCAGTAAAGTATGTCAAAGTAGCTGCATTGCCCTGCCTTCTCCCTTAACAAGAACCTGTGCTGCTTCTAACTTGTGACAAATTATCAATAGTGAAGATGTTAAGAATGTTAAGCAGTGTATTTCAATGTCTTGCAGGTACAGTGATAAGCACTAGGCTACTGAAGAATCTGATTCCCATTTCCGTAATAACAGAGGATTCTGTTATTTCAGCTGTGTCTTGGCTTTGTGCTCACAAGTGTTCTAGTGACATTCAGGTAACTTGGAAAGCATGGTAATGATGTCTTGGTTCTGAAGAATGATATTTTTGCCAGTCTGACTTATTTATCCTGGTGATTATTAAACTAGATGTTGTACAATTCCTGAACATATTCCAGAAGGGGTTTGTTATCTTGGTCTTGCTTTCACTTACTGATATCTATCTTCTCCCTATAGGTGCTCGTTCTAAAATGGCTAATTGTAATGTTTGACTTCATTGATCAGAAGGAAAATATTAATGCTCTCTATGGTTTCTTCTTCAGCTTCTTACGATATGACAAATTGGTAAGATAAAAATGAATGTGTTATTTTGAAGGAACTAGCTTTTGTTCTCTGACAGTAACCAAAATCAAACAATAAAGAGTACTTTCTGACCACACAACAGGACACAATATAAAAAGTGGGGCCTTTAAAAAAACCTGAACATTACTAAATACTGAATTCTGAACACAACAATAAAATAGACAGTCATACCTTGGTTATCGAATAGAATCCGTTCTGGAAGCCCGTTCGACTTCTGAAAATGTTTGACAACCAAGGTACGGCTTCCAATTAGCTACACGAGCTTCCTGCACACAATTGGAAGCTGCCGTGGACGTTTGGCTTCCAAAGAACATTCGAAAACCAGAACACTCACTGCCGTATTTGCGGCGTTTGGGATCCAGAACGTTAGACTCCCTAGGCATTCTGCTTCCAAGGTATGACTGTAATAGGCTATATCCAATATTAGTCATACTCAGACCCATTGAAATTGGCATGACTAACATGGATCCATTAAATTCATTGCACCAATCTTTTTATTATTATTATTATTATTATTTTGTACAGGCAACCCTGGATTGTGTTCCAGGTTTTCGTGCATGTTGGCGGAGCATGCATAAATCCATTATGTCCTGGCCCCGCTTCTCCCTCTTCCAGGTCCAAAAAATGGGTTGCAAATTCTTTGAACGTACACAAAAAGGGGCTTGCCTGTATTTAATTTTGATTCATTTCACATATGAAAACAAACATACATATAAAGTCATGCATTAGACATATTTATCATCTCTGATACAATGATAACAATGCATTATTTGACTTTATCCCACTTAAAACTAATTGGATATGAATATACCCACTCTCCCACCAAATGTAAATAACAATACCAGCACCTAAATAATTTAAAGTTTAGATAATTGCGCCTACATTTAAGGGAAGACAGAATGTTACATAAATACTAAACAGTCAGAGACATTACATAGCTTGTAGTATAGTTAACTGTATGGTCTGAGATGACAAAGACAATTCTAGTTAGGGGTTCCATAGCCATGGCAAAAAGCAGGGGGGGCAGTGAGCAGCTCTGCTTTGTGCCCCAGCCAATGAGAAATATCAGAGAGTGTTCCCCATTCAGCAAAAATTAGTTCACTGACCCATAGTATAAATTAAAAAGTGGATCAACCCAGGATGTACTAATGCCTAAGGAACACAGAATTGTAAAGCGATCTTGCCAGTTTAAACAATCAAATGCCCTGACTGTGTCCAGCATCAGGAGAATAGTAGGTTCTGGATGTGACTGATTCCAAGCTAGGCTATTTTTGCTTCCAGGGAAGGAAGGAGCAGCAGATCGAAATGCCATCTTGCTTCAGTGATACCAACTTGAGTGATGGTTTTTCTAAAAACATTTCATTTTCACAAGAAGCCTGATGCAGAGGCCAAATAGTTAAATCTGTCTTCTATTTAAGCTCTTGCCTGGTATCCATAGGCAACAAGGAATTTCATGCCAGGCCCTCCCCACTGCATTCTAGCATCCAGCTGCAATAGTGAGACTGCTCGTGGTAAACCCCACCCCGACCCTGTTGTGCACAGAATGGTTCCAATGAATAAAGTGAGACTTCTAAGTAAACATTTGGCAGTTAAATACTGTCTATAAGCAGGCTAGTAATTTAGAACTCATTGTCACTTGGACACTAAAATACTTGCTGAATTAAATGCCATCTGCTTTTCAGGATTGTGTTGAGATGGAAAGAACTGAATTTACCTGTTAACTGCTTTTGTGTAATATATTTTCTTTCTTACTGTAGCTCCCCTTTGCCTGTCATGTGCTGTGTTTGCTGACCAGAATGGAGAGTGGTGAGATCTTAATTAGATTCATGGTACATGTTATGTGATTGCATCATAAGCTTTTTGTCATTTGTCACAGGAGGCATGCCATCCCCACCACCCAGTCTTGGGGACCCACTTTATGGATTTACCACCCTCCAAAAGTGTGCTCAGCCCTTTTATTCAAACTGGCTGATTTTCTGCAAGAGAGTATGACCTATCTTGTTTCTAGATCTGATATGCTGCTTTACTTGGAATAAAGATTGCTGTTTTACCTATAGCTGCCTTGAGTACGGACTCATTGTTAAAACCGTGTTTATGGAAGACAGTGTTACTCGGCTACGAATGATCGCCAAAGAAGAAGAATATGTGAAAGGCAGAACATAACTTTTTTGAATAAGTATTGAGTTTTGTTTTCTTCTCCCTAGTGAAACCTTTCCATGTGAGGAAACTTCTAAATTTACACAGCAGCATGGTAAGCACTTGAGATATGAAAGTTGAAGCAAGACAAAACTTTTTTTTAAAAAAAATGGAATCTAATCTTTATAGGAACTCCAGTGTGGCATGAAAGCTTAATATTTGGATAGCTGACAAATATCTGATGTAATTTAAATGGTGCATTATCTTGCATTCTAAGACGTAAAGCAAAGCTGCAAATAGTAGCATCTACTATTCTTTATAACCTGCTGATGGTGTAGGTCTAATGCTGAGCTCATCTGAGAGGGCATGCAACCTTTGTCCTTTGCTCTCTAAGCAAAAGGTATACAGTCATACCTCGGGATGAATACGCTTCGGGTTAGGCATTTTTGGGTTTCTCCGTGCGCATGCGCAGACCGTCAAAATGACATCATGCGCAGAAGCACCGAAACGTGACCCACACAGATGTGCGGACACGGGTTACGTTTGCTTCGGGATGCAAACGGGACTCCGGAATGGATCCCATTCGCATCCCGAGGTATCACTGTGTACAGCATAAATGAACAAAAGAGATGGAAGAGATTCTTTTGTTAGCTTTTCATCTCTTTGGATTGTTTGTTTCTACAGCAGCTGTAGCCGCCTCACTCCACTAACTGCCCCTAATTAACTATAGTGCATCCACTGCATGGTATGCCAATTAAATGAATTTCTACAATTTACCACAGTCTTATATGAAGGAAAACTTTTTTTATATAATATTTTTATTAGATTTTCAACAAAAATAAAAAACACAACAACCACAAAGAAAGGAAAATATACATAAAAGCAATATCAAATCCATAAAATGGGATTCTCCGAATCCCATGACTTCCCTCCCCTGGTTCCTTAAATTTCCTTTTCAACTGCATATCATTTCTACTCCAAATATTTTTTCCACTTCAAATTTCCTATACTATTTCTATAATTACAAGTGTTCTTAAAATCCTGTCAATGTATTAACCTGTTTACAATACTTTTGTAAATATATGATAAACATTTCCCATTCTTTTTAACATTTATTGTCATCTTCATTTCCAGTTAGTTTTGCCATTTAAGCGTGGTCCATTAACTTGGTTTGCCAATCTTCTTTGGTCGGGACTGCTTCCTCTTTCCATCTTTGGGCTAACAGTATCTGGGCAGCCATCGTGGCATATGTAAACATTTTTTTCTGTTCTTTTGGAATCTCCACTCCTAGAGTACCTAATAAAAAGGCTTCTGGTTTTATAAAAAAGGTTACTCTAAACATTTTTCCCCATTTCATTACAAATCATTTCCCAAAAGTTTTCAACCTTCCTATATTCCCACATATGATAAAACGTACCCTGTTTCTTTAGATTTCCAGCACTTATTAGAACTTGTTCTACATACATTTTTGCTAATTTAACCAGGGTTAAATACCACCGATACATCATTTTCATGTTGTTCTCTTTCAGTAAAGTACATGCAGTAAATTTCATATATGACTTCCAAAACCTTTCCCAATCCATCATTAGTATATTATGTCCCACATCTTTCGCCCATTTTATCGTAACACATTTGACCTGTTCCTCTTTGGTTTCCCACCAATTTTACAAGAGCAGATTGTACAATTTATTTCATGGGGTATATCCTCTCACATGACCTCAGACAGGAGCAAAGACTTGTGGGAGGCAGGCTGGCACTTCCTCAGTTTTTTCTCCTGCCTGACTCAGAATGTTTTTCCTGGCTCTCCTGCTTCTTCAGATAAATTTTTCAATTTTGATACTTGCTTCTATTTTTATTGATTTATGAGCCAGGAAGGCAGGCAGGTTGTTTTGTTTCTGGTACTTTGGCAAACATTGCTGCTTGGTGAATCTGAAAAACTGAGGAAGTGCCAGCCTGCCTCCCACAAGTCTTTGCTCCTGCCTGAGGTCACATGAGAGGATATACCCAATCCACTGTCCCCAGCATCCCCAATTGTGTGGTTTTTTCAGCAATTTCGTTCTACCTTCTACTATTTCTCTCGGAAATCTTGACACTTCATAACTAAATGCTTTCTTTTTATCATTTTAAAATTTTTAATTTAATTGCAAATATTGTACCCAGTCTACTCCTTTTTCCTCTTACTCCTTCAAAACCTTTTAATTTTAGTTGGTTATCTGTTTCTGTTAATAGCTCTCTATATGTCGGCCAATTTATCCTCATACTCACTTTTTTCAAAGCTATTACTTCTAATGGGGAAAGCTAGCATGGTGTTTTCTGTTCTAATAAATCTTTGTATTTCTCCCAAACTTTGAGTTTCTTATTATGTGAGTATAAAAACTTTTATGAACTTTTGCCTTATGGTAAGGCATACCATAAATATGCATGCCAACCAAATCTATTGCCAAATCTAATAAATCAGCATTTGTTAAATTTATCCAATCCTGGATCGAGCAGATGCAAGATGCTTCATAATATAATCTTAAATCCAGTAGAGAGAAATCTCCTCTAACATCTATTAATAATTTATGTTTAATTCTTGGTTTTCCCCCTATCCAGATAAATCTTGAAATGTCTTTTTGACATTCTTTGAAGCAGCTCACATTGCTTACCACCAGGATTGACTGATATAAAAACAACATTTTTGGCAATGCGTTCATTTTGATCACTGAAATTCCACCTAATAATGACGAACTCATCCTTCCCCAAATTTCTATGTTCCTTTTTATTTCTTTCCATAGTTTTTCATAGTTGTCTTTAAATATACTAATATTCTTGGCTGTCAATCATATTCCCAAATATTTAACTTTCTTTTATATACTTATCTCTGTCTTCTGCTGTATCTCCTTTTTATCTTGCTCTGAAATGTTCTTCACTAAAAGCTTAGTCTTATTTTTATTCAGTTAAAAACCTGATACTTCTCCAAATTCCAGTATTTCTAATACTTTTGGTAACAAATTTATAGGGTCTTCAACCGTTATCACAAGGGCATCCGCAAATGTTTTCAATTTACCATATTGGTCCAAATATAAGCTGCACCCGCAAATAAGCCACACCTTTAAAATTGGTGGGAGGGGAGACAATACCCATATATAAACCACTCCCTTAAAATTGGGTTACAGGCTGAAAATCGCTGTGGTTGGTAGAATTGTAACTCCGAGCCAATTTAAGCCTTTGATCTTGCAAGCCTGCAAAAGTTACCGTACAATCACTAAAATCGCAAATCCCTATTCAATTGCTACAATTCCACAGGCACTCATACCCATAAATGGCAAATGAACCATCTCAAGCTCGCAAATCGGCAATAAAACATTTTTTTTGTTCCGTTTTACCATATGTCTGTTTCAGCAGCAATATTGTAAAAGCCCATTTTTGTAAGGTCGCAAATTTAAGCCGCACTTTAACTTCACGGTCGGAATTTGGAAAAAAAGTGAGGCTTATATTCAGGCCAACACAGTATATGCTTTATTTCCTACTTTTGTTCCTCTGAAGGTTTCTTCTGTGCTTATATTTCTCACAAGAACTGTGTAAAGGAAAAGCTCAGGGAGTCTCAGGCAGGAGTTGAGCAAACAAAAAAAGTTTTATTTCCAGAAAAAGAGTTTAGTGAAAGAAAGTTGAGACAGGAGATGGCCCATCTTCAGGTATAAGTCTACTTGTTCAGACACAGTATATGCACACCTTTTCTGAAACTTCAGTTACTCAGAAATCAGTTGTTCAGTTTCTGTTACTTCTCTCTCATTTTACTTAGTTATGGCAGATTTTTCAGGTTAATGCTTTTAACGCAGCACAACTTCCTTCACAGTTTATTAATTAATTTGGTTCATGAGCAAGGTGCACTTTTCATCAGTTACCCACTTTTTCAACAATCTGATTCCTGAGGTATTCTGATTAGTATACCAAACCCAGAGGATCACCTCACCCTTTGTTACTGGCTTGGGAGTCTTCTTTACCAAGAAGAACTCTCCCGTCCTGGCAGGAATGAGACCCAGGTAGCCTGTATTCCCATAGCTTCTACCTCTCCTGGCTCAGACTCAGCCCTCCAGTTAAATCCTGTCTGTATACCTTCACCAGACACTCAACCCAGTCTTCCTATCTAAACTGAGGCTCCTTCCTCTTGCTATAGATAGTCCCCTCAGAGAGGATGTTCAACTCAAATCAGAAACAATTCTCTCAGACAAACCCTATCCTAATCCCTCTCTCTCATCTCAAATCAACTATCTCTCAAACTAAACGCTATCCTCCTGCTCTTTCCCTTCGCTATCCCCATCTAAGAACTCATTCAGAAACCCCTCCTTTTATTCTCCCTCCTAAAGTGCTGCCCCACACTCGCCCCTCTGGCTGGCTGTTGTGGTGGTAGCTAATCAGAGAGAATTCTGGTGGAATTCTGAGGGACTGTATCACCATATTCTGGTCTGGCTTGCTGTCTGTCACAACAGCATTTGCTTGGCATTGGTATAGCCCTCCATCTCCTATTTGTAGGGTCATGGCTAGAGATTTGCTATGTCTAATGCAGTGCAGTGCTTTTTTTTTTTCTAAAAAGGAATTTGTTTAGGGGTACTCTCATTTTCCTACTCATATTGAAATACTGCCCCTCAATGAGGCCAAACTTAGATTCACAAAATGTTTAGGGGTATGCGTCACCGTCCCCCATCCGTCCGTCCCCGCCGCCGCCAGAAAAAAAGCACTGATGCAGTGGGTTTCATAGTTTCTCAGCTACTATGCTGGAACATTATCAGGTGCAACAACATCGAACTCATTTCTTTTCAGACATCAGCTTCTCTGCAGACTCTGCTATGGAAGTACAAGATCTTTGCTCCTGAAATAGTAACAGTAACTTTGCCTACAAAAACAAAGGTGAGGATGCTTTCAAATGAGATCTGTGCTGTGCTGTGAGATCTGTGCTGGGAGACTAGGCATCTGAATTCAGTGTTGCCAAATTATTAAACTACTCATTGATGAGGAAGAAACAGTTAGATTGGAACTGGTGTACACATAACTGAATTCTTAAACTTTGCATATTACGTTGCTTAAAATTAAATTAATAATAAAGGTGAAGCCAAGGGTGTCATGTGATTGTTGTAATTTCTACCAGACAATAATAGTTATAAAAAATCCTTCATGAGTTACTTTTGAAGTGCAGTGGTACCTTGGTTCTCAGACTTAATCTCTTCCAGAAGTCCGTTCCAAAACCAAGGCATGCTTTCTCATAGAAAGTAATGCAAAACGAATTAATCCATTCCAGACTTTTTTTTTAAAAGCACACCCTAAAACAGCAATTTAACATGAATTTTACTATCTACGACCATTGATCCATAAAATGAAAGCAATAATCAATGTACTGTACTATGAAATAAATAAGACAGTATTGTAAAGGGACCCCTGACCATTAGGTCCAGTCGTGACCGACTCTGGGGTTGCGGCGCTCATCTCGCTTTATTGGCCGAGGGAGCCAGCATACAGCTTCCGGGTCATGTGGCCAGCATGACTAAGCCGCTTCTGGTGAACCAGAGCAGCACACGGAAATGCCGTTTACCTTCCTGCCAGAGCAGTACCTATTTATCTACTTGCACTTTGATGTGCTTTTGAACTGCTAGGTTGGCAGGAGCAGGGACCAAGCAATGGGAGCTCACCCCGTCATGGGGATTCAAACCGCTAACCTTCTGATTGGCAAGTCCTAGGCTCTGTGGTTTAACCCACAGCGCCACCCACGTCCCTAGACAGTATTGTAGATGATAACAATTAAAATTATTATTATTTTCTTACCTGCAGTGATGATAGTCATTGTTTGGATGGGGGACATTTATCTATTTCCGCAGTCACAATCAATCAACTGAACTGGGTTCCTCACAAAAACAAATTAACAGCCATCTGACAGTATTTTACAGCCATCGCTGCACACGTGAGAAAGCCTTCTTGCATCTGATCTGCAAAAAAACACTTAAAAAAGCTGCTTTTTGTAGATGGCCGTAAGAGGGACAGCTACCTTTCTCAATGCTTGTCTTTGGCTGTCTGTGCCTGTTCCCAGCAGGAACCAGAGAGCATGGCTGAACTGAGCAGGATTAGCAGCCAGTCATCAGCTAATTGAGCCCAAATTTAATGCTATTGCTTTGCAACACCAGCTGATGGATAGGTGGGCATGGTTTGGGGGAAATTACCTGTCAAACCAAAATGGACCCACAGACTGGAGATTCTGTACTCCTGTTGTAAGATCCATGACGAAATAATGCCAGCTCCAAATATGGTAAGGATGTACCCATATAGCTTAGCCAAATCAAAGCAGAAATTAAATTGAGCACCCAGCTGTCATCTTAACTGACATTTATTACTCTTGTACTGAGTTCTCCTCTGCCAATAAACTTTGTTGAGGTTTGCTGGGCTGCTCCTACTAGGCCTGAAGCACAGAGTTGACCTTGCCAATGGATCAGCTGAGCTACCTTTTTCGTTCTGCTGTGTTTTTTTAAAGCAGACTGGCAGATTTGTCAGCCTGCTCTATAATGAAGGAAGAAATTTGCTTTCTTCCACAGCAAACATGAAAACAAAGTTGCTGGGTAAGGAGTGAGCTACATGTCCTTTCACCACCAACTAGCTCACTCATCTGCATGGAATTCCTAGTTGTTTATGGTACCAGGCTAATTGTTAAGTACAAGGCTGGTATAGAGCATCCTATTCAATGATACCCTCCTCCACGGTAGGTAAATAGAACATTGGACTTAGTGTGCAAAGTTCCTCTTCCACGTTGGATGGAGGATAGCTTACCTGCCCTGGAGGGGTGATTCCCATTGCTGGGAAAAGTTGGGGGTGGTTGTATGCTCTCAGTTCTATTTGGGTTTTGATATCACCCATATCAATTTTCCCCCAATGCCTGCTGTTTTTGCTATTAAGGGTTGCAGTCCCTCTTCTATCAAGGACAGTTTGAGCATTCATGGTTCAATTTGTTATGTTATGTCCCAAAAGTGGAGAGGTTCTCTTCCACACATGTTGGCAGTAAAAAGTTTGATTTGCGTAGCCTGTTGGAGCAAGTGCAGAGTCAACGCATTTGAGGATACCCTCCATTTGCCACAGAAAAGGAACTTAATCTCAACAAAACCAATCTTCTTCTTCCCCCGCCAGATGTTATTTAGGACTTTTTCACATCCGTGGAAAACAGCAATTGACAACGTAAAACTGCGAATTCACGGAACACCATCTGCATCCCAGCTAACTTTAAAATGCATGGAGTATCCCCAATCTCAGAAGAAGGTTTGTTGCTGGGGATAGTTTGAATGCAGTTATTGGGCTACAACTGTGCATGCTAATTTTATTTACTTTATTGACAACTAGTTTGTGTCAGTGATGGCATGAGAATCTCTGTCCACTCAGATATGGAAAGGGTTTCCTGATGGTAGCAAGTATTGAATAACTTTATTATATTTTCATATTTGAAAAAGTTTAGAGTAGCTTACATGACGCTTTTAGTAGACTCCTGATTATTATTGGATTCACACTTGCTATTGCAACAGATGCTCTGTGGTCATTTATTTTTTCAATTACATTATAAATGGAATGCAATATGTAAAGCTCACACATTTTTTATTATTATAATTCTGATCAGGAAGAGGCAGACTTTAAGGAGGAGTGTAAACCTTTTATTGAATATTTAAGGCACACCAAGCTTGAAATACTGTTTGGTTTTCTTCTTCCACCTGAACATAACAATTACACAGAATTGTAAAGAATATTCATCACTGAAGGCACAACTTTAGAAAAGATTTGGAAGATAATATGATAGCTGAAATTGGGATTAGGGTTGACAGAGGCATAATCTAGAAATGTAGCTGTGAGCCGTTTAATTTTGGCATTTTGTTTTCTCCATAGGAAAGGAATACAAAGTTGATTCCGCCTGTATGCAGCTCCAATGCAGAAAGCTTAGCTGAGAGTGAAAAGCATAAATTCTTTTCATTGGAACAGCTGCAGACCTTCCCCCAGCTTCTGCAGAACATTCAGTATTTAGAGGTAGGTTTGTGAATAGCACTTTACTAATATAATGCAGAGGTCAAATAGACCCCAAATGAAACACAGCTTTAAAACAATTAAGAATGTATGACAATTATTCCAATTTAATGTAAAAATGTGAATGTAAAGATTATTGTAGCCTTCTGTTAAACAACCATCATGGCCTTTCTCCTAATTTCTAGCCATAGGGTTTTTGCTTACTCATGCAATTTTTTCTGTAACTTAACCTGGAAGCATGGATTCTAAACAAAAAGGAATGGTTAAAGGTGAATGTTAACACCAGTGCAACAGTTAAGTGAGATACTGTGGTAGTCATAATGTTTTGCTTGAACCACTGCTACTGTAGATGTGCAACAATTCATTCACCTGCCCCCCAAAAAAACACTTAAAATGAGGGCTTAACTAAACTGCTTTGAACGAAATATTCAGAGTGGAAAAGAGGCACTATGTGTGCACAATAGGTGAGAGATTTGAAACATGGCAAAAAGCATAATGTAACAAAGACTACAGAATATGAAATTGCACATATTTGGGGGAAAATATGTGTATTTAATGCCACATTGGAGCTATTTACTAAAAGTGTGGGATAGCTAGCTACATGATGGATTTTTAATTAGACGCGACTAGACTTCATCCTTTGGTGTGGGTGGCACTTATGAACTATATTTATACTAAGATTTACTAAGCACTTACACAGATTAAGAACAAGATAGTTCCTGCCCACAGACTTGCAATCTAAAAGATTGTAATTCAAAAAGAAAACAAGGAAACTTTGATGCCAATTTTTGAAAACACTAGCTTGAACAGAAACAGTCCAGGGAGGAGCAAAATGAACTTGTACATCAGCCAAGTCAGTGGTGAAGGCCCTATTGCCTGATCCATATCTTTGTTCACTACAGCTAGATGTGGGATGGCTACTAGTAGGGGAGCTGGATGGGCAGCAGCTGTGCTAGGGTAGTGCCAAGGAATAGCCATATGTTCTGCTTGCTCAGGGTGCAGCAACCACGTTGATTAAGCAACTTCTGTGAGGCAAGGTTCCTTTTGGCTATGCAAAACACTTAGGGACGTGAGGACCTGCATTCTGTTGGCAGCAAGGGTATGGACAGGCAAAGAAGAGCAAGTGGGTTGAAGAACCATGGGTTGGGGTGTGGTGGGAGGGCTCTAAATTTTCCATTGACTTGAACCAACCTGTTCAATTCTGGTTATGTGAGATCTCTAGTATATGTGTTCTTAGAAGCAATGGCTTTTCTATAAACTGAAGATTTTTTTAAAAAAATACTGCTGATTAAATGAGGCATTCTGTTAAAATCAAAATCTTTGACTGTTTCCAACCCTGGGGGTGGCTTGCAAGGACAATTACCCTCCAATTAGTCCTGGTTTACGTTCCGTGAACAGACTCCGCTAACATGAGATTTGCTTTCAGCGTGGCGGAGCACCGAACGTCTGAGTTTTTGTGTTCCCTTCTGAACAGTTTCTTCTGGCTTCTCTTTCAGCCTCCAGCCCAAATAGGCTCGGTGGTAGGCAATCCTCTGTTGCTCCACTACTTCAGTCTCAAAGATAAATCAGTCTTTAGGAGGATGCATTACTGGATGGGTCATACATTAAAAGAAGGTAGGGAGACTAATTTGATTCCCACATAGGAGAAACTGATGCCTTAGATCTAGGTTACGGCCTGGTTCTCACAGAGATAATCTTGTGTCTGAGATGTGAGAGCTCACATGATTGATTGTTCTGCTGCATTATAGATCTTGGAGAGCTGAGTTTTAACCTAATATGCGAGTTTTCTATCTGCAGAACATTTTTTTTTTGTACAGAGAAGCATTTCATCTTATGAGTCCATCCCCTCTCCAAATATCTGACTTGGTACTGTACAGACACAGGTCATCATCTCAGTGTACCTCAACTGTGCCAAGGCAAAATGGGTGGCAGACTATATACAAAGGTGAAAACTTGGGGATGTCAGAGAATAAGAACTTGGAGGATAAGCAATGTTTTACCCCTTTGTCTCATGATTCAGGATGCCCTTGGTATAAGATGTTGAACCAGGAAGATGAATTGAACTTCAAGGTCTTCTTAGAGGAAGTCTTCAAAGCAGAGTGTTTCTTGCAGGTTAGTTCATATGCGATTCTCATCCCATCAATCCTTGGACATTGTCTTTTGTCCACCACCATTCTATGCCTTGACTAAAACATCAATATTCTGTTAGTAGGATGTTAAATAATGGTATGTCAGAAATGAAAATACTGTAGCTTTTTTTAAAAAAGCACAGGAGGGAGAGAAGCTGGGAGGTGGGAAGAGATGAAAGGGCTGTAGTATTCTATTGTAGTAATGTGAAAACCCTAATAAACCATGAGTAAAAAACGATTCTATTGAAAGTCATGGAGCTATCCAAATTAATTACACGGCTGTGGGCTTCCTTATCAAAGGACAGTGGTGGCCAAATTGCACCTCTCCTTATTTTTTTCCTAAGAGCTGCATGATGAAGGAAACAGAGAGGGCATCCAGGGGCAGGTGGTGAGTGACACAGCCTATATCTGTGCAGTCAAGAAATAGGGTTCCTGAAGAAGGCAAACTGGGAAGCAGAAAAGAGTGGCATGAACAAAAGTAATTTGGGATCTGCTTTTTAGGAGGCGCGGTAGAGGCTCTTGGGCCAAAGAAGATCACTTGAATTATTAGAAACTTTTGCTATCCCTAGCAAAGTACTTTTAAGAATGACAGCCCAACTAATCTGCTTCACTAGCTTATCCCTTGAATTCTTAGCAGTTATCTGTCTTGGCCTTCTTAAGTATTTTCTGCTATGGAAGAGCACTGTCAGGCTGGGTGCATGAAAAGGGCTGGCTTTCAAGAATCTTTAGCAGTGTCTGTTGTGCCTTTCAGAGGGGTTTCTTGGCCTGCGAAGAATTCTTGTGGAAGAGTCTGCGCTTCTGGGATGGCTGCTGCTGTCAGTCACAGGTCCTGCAGCTGGTGAGATGGATCTCTCCCAACAGTTTCTCAGGTATGTGATGCAGCCTAACCAATCTTACCCTGCTTTGTGGTCCAGACAGGCCTGCTTCAAAGTCTCTGTTCCTTTTTTTGTTTCTTTCCTTTCAGAAATGAAGACTTATCTCTACCAGCCATTGTTGAAGCTTTTTTCCATATCATCTCTTTATTTTAAGGTAATGGAGAGAAAGTAGCCAGTGAATGCCTGCTTTGGCATGTAAGAATTACCAAATTTGATCCCTGACATACAACTAGGAAATATGTTTGTCTGAGGTGCCCAAGAGTAGGGCAGTTGTGAGCAAAATACCAGGCGCATTGCGGTTGATACAAGACAAATCCTTGAATATGTTTGGGATTGCTATCCTTGTTAAAGGAAGGAGACAAAATACTTGTCAGACTCAGATGAATTTCTTGTTGTATGTAAACTAGTTGAATAAGCCTTAATTGGACGTACAGAATCTCTGCTTTTTGCTACACGCAAACTAGGAATCCTAGCTTGCAACAATCATTGGTGGTTACCAAGCAAGCTCACTTCAGACAATGGGCTATGAAGCTGGTTTGTATAGCTACAAACTGTTTGCCATAAGCCATGATTCTTATTTCACATATAACACTAGTGCATTATAACAATAATGCACATAACATTGAGCATTATGTGTGAACTAGCCCTTTGGAATTACAAATACAGCACCATAGCAATAAGAATGGTTGCTGCTTTTCTTCCTTCAGCTGGAAGTATGCAAGTTTCCTATAATTTTTCTCTGCTTTTATCTCCTGTCTCTCTGGGGGCTAACACCACAACTGCAGGCTACTGAAGCACCCTAGGAGAATTCTTAAACTTGTGTGTATGGATAACCTGGGCTTTAAAAACCTTTTCAAGCATATTACTACAGTACTGCCGGTATGGAGCTCCCCCAAATCTGAAATACAATGGATCCATTTTTTTGTTTTTTGCTCTTCCATAGTATGAAGTTCTTGAAAGCCTAAGGGAACTGTTACTGAACATGCTGAATTGCCACATGCAAGCAGACATGGCAACAGAATCAAATGTTGATGTGTTGTAAGTATAATCTTTACAAAGTGGTACATCTCTAGAACACAGGCAATCAAGCGATAATGCAGCTCACGTGGGCACAACCATTCTCTTCCTACTAGATGCTAAGGCTGATATCTATCTTGTTTTGTTTCAGGAACACCACCCAAGTTGACCTGATAAGCTCCTTGGCAGAGCTCATTCACTTTGTAAACAGGCTCTCAACTGTTGGTCTGTGCTTGGAGAACAACTCTACTTTGTTGATGAATGTTATCCTGGATTTCTATGAGACAGTATGTAAGCTGTTCACACTGCAAATTTGTTTAATAGCTTTAGACGTTATGTATTTGACAATCCTGAGGGAGGTTCTGATAATTTGAGGGGGAGGCAGAGAAAGAGAAATCCAAAGGAAAAAAGTGGGTAGATTGTTTGAAGCTCATGTTTGCCTCTAAAGTATAACATCTATATATAATGTTATAGACGGAGACATAATGTCTGAGTAGGCAAGAACAAGGCTGTTCCTCCGTTTTTTCTGTGAAGGTAATGTGCTAAGGGCAGAGAGCTGAGAATACAAGCTTATACAGCTATCTTTCCTACTTGTAGGTATCTGATATATATCTGAAGTACAACCTCCCCTTAGTTATTATGCTTCCTACTGGAGTCTTCTATCCAGCACTTCTCAGCATGAATTCTGCCACACTTGACCAACTCTGCTACATTATGTACAGGTACTGAGAAAATTCCTTTTTCTGCCCCTTGTGCTTTTCCTCAGCCTTTCTGCATGGCCATAATCTCGCTTGTACTAGACCACTTCAACTTCTCTACTAATCTGCGATTGCCCACTTGATTCTCCACACTATAATAATGCCAGAAGGCAGAATGTCAATTTGTCCTTTCTAACTTGTTGTGCTTACATTTAGTGAGTGTTATGAAGGCAGTTTGCTAACTTTCACAGTGTTGTAGAGTTCTTGGGGGGGCGGGGGGCACTTGTGGCCCTGATGCTTAAGTTTTTTAATGAGTTTTTGCTTGCTAAAGAAAATTCTTCCCATGATAGAGTCCTCATTTCAGGCTCGGGATGCCTCTCCATATGAACCAACCTGGGCCTTGAGATTATCATCTGAGGCCACCTTTGTTTTTGTTTTGTTTTTTGTTTTTTAAATAATATTTATTAAGTTTTCCATTTTAACAAGCCAATAAAAGCCACATTAAAAACATTCCAAATTATAAAATAATCAAACAGTACAAATTTTATGCCAAATGTTAAGTCTTTGGTTGACTTCCCATGCTCTGAGGTTGGGGGAGTGATGATCTCACAATTGTGCTGCTTCTCTTAATTAGTCCAGATAGTTCCAAATAAGACATTTTGATGTTGATCCTTCGTTTATTTTTAACAGCCTCTGAGTTCATCTAGCAAGCGGATTAAACCAATATAGTGTGATTCTATGTGAAAAAGTTCCTTCGCGTTTATTTTCTTCTTTGTACTCTGGCAGTCTGTGGCAATTCACTTTCACTTTCTCATGCCTGTAATTTTCTACTGCGACACATCTTGAGCTGGAGGAAATCTGGCATCCACCATTTGTACCAGGCATATATCCAAACTTCTTGGTTTCATCTCCTTCCAAGACAAATAAGCCTGTATTTTAGCTAGAAACCATAATTTCCATCACCTATTCTTTTTTATTGATCCATTGAAAGTGATTGCAAAATTCATAAACCAGTTCCACACAGTTAATTCTATAGTTAAACCATAATTATAACAATAATGAAATACTCTTTCTTTCCAGTCCCGCTTGCTTACTCAAACAGTCAGGCAGGCAGTCCTTCCAGGGAGATTTGCCAAATAAGATAGCAAATACAAAATATATCAAAAAGAAACAATGGAGGCTCACCCCCCCCCCTTCCGTTCTGACATACCAGTCCCATAATGATGGTAATCCTTCCACTCAAATCCTTTGGCACCCCAGTGGCTGAATCAGTTAGCAGAATACTTTATCTCCCCTCGCTCAGAGCATGCCTGTTAATTAAGTCCAAATTTCATCTTAAAAAAGCAGGTATTCGTTGCTCATGGCGACAGCTTTGGAGACTTGCCAAAGAAACACACGGTGCTTTACACCCAGTGCCCCCTGCCCCCTCATTCCTTCCAGACCAGGAGCAAGTCTTGGGTGATCTGCTGGTGAAGCTGCCCCCCACCCACCCTGCGAAGGTTGGATGATCACTCCCATCTCATCTTAAAAATATTCCGTGTGAGATGGCTCTGATGTAATGGGCAGCCGTTCGCTAAAGCAGCCAAACAGGAAGTCCTGAGGCCACCTTTGTGTGCCTCCATGAGAGGTCTGGCGGGTGGTATCACAAGATCAGGTCTTTTCTGTAGCGACTTTCTGTGTGTGGAATGCTCTTCCTAAGGAGGCTCACCTGGTGTCTTTGCATATCTTTAGGTGCCAGGTGAAAATATTTCTCCATAAAGAGGCCTTTGGCTGATTAATATTCTAAGACCTTTTAAATGTGTTTGTGGGATGGGCGTTGGTGGTTTGTGTTTGCTTTTTTATTATGTACCGTATTTTTCGCCCTATAGGACGCACTGGCCCATAGGACGCGCCTAGATTTTTTTTGGGGGGGGGATAAAAGGAAAAAAATTATTCCCCCCCCCAGGCACGGGGCTGGGGCAGGGGAAGTCCAAGCTTCCCCCACCCCAGCCCCCAGAACAGGCAGCTCTTCGCAAGCTGTTGGAGGCCAGCGCGAAGTAGCGCTGGGCTCCCACAGCTTGCAGAGAGCTGCGCGAAGCCTGCTCTGGGAGCATGCGGGGCTGGGGGTGGGCTTCCCCCGACCCCAGCCCCCAGAACGGGTCCCAGAGCAGGCGCGAAGCCTGCTCTGGGAGCTTGCGGGGCTGGCTTCTCCCCGCCGCCAGCCTCCAAACCAGGTCGGGGGACAGCGGAATGGCGGTGTTCCACCTCCCCGCTGTCCCCCAAGCTTGTGGGGCTGGCGGTGGGGCTCTCCTGAACCCTGGAGAGCGAGAGGGGACGGTCAGCACTGACCCCACTCGCTCTCCAGGCTTCAGCAAAAGCCTGCATTCGCCCCATAGGACGCACACCCATTTCCCCTTCATTTTTGGAGGGGGAAAAGTGCGTCCTATAGGGCGAAAAATACGTTACTTTGTTTTTTTATCTTATATTTTTATGTTGTGAACCATCATCAATATGTTGTGAATGCGCTCCTCAATGGAGAAGAGTAAAGGAGCCCCCACCCCGGCTTGTGTGAGCCGGAGGCAGGATGGGGGCGTTGTTAGACTTCTCCGGAGGCAGCCACATTCCCCTCAGTGGAGAAGTCTAAAGGGGGTGCCTGCCCGCACGAGCAGCCAAGGGAGGAACAAGCTACATCAGCCCTCTGTGGTATGAGGGCCAGAGTGAGATGGCTGTTTCACCCAGTGGTGTATCACAAGTGAAACCACCACCACTCCTGAGTCCCTCTGCTACCAGCATCCATCTGCAGCTTGGTTCTTCCTCGGCACGCAGGGCGCTGGTGGCAAAGAGACTTAGGAACGGCAGTACGTAGTTTCACTCGCGATATACCTCCAGTTGAAGACGCCACCGCGGTCTGGTCCTCACCCGCTACATCATCCAGGCCTAGATAATATGTCTTGGAGAAAAGTGGTGTGGAGGAGCCACATTGAGCAACCCCTTGGGGAGAATGTCAGGTGAAATAAAGGTGCCTTGTGCACCCAGTTAAAGGGAAAACTTAAGAATACCATGCCATGCAAGTGAAAGGGCTCTTTCACACAGTCCAGTTTCAGATATGAGTGACATTACATAAAAAAGAAAGATGTGATGTTCTTGAGACATCTTGAGTTGAGTCAATTGCCATGCCACCGGGTTAGAACCCAGCCACTAGGATGTTTCTGTTCATTTAATCTATTTTTAGCAAAGTGATCTTTCTTTTGCTGAAATGGGATAGACTTGGACTTCTCAGGAAATAAAACCATGGTTCATAACTTAAGTTTGCTGATTGATGCTCATTTTTTCCAAGTAGGAGTTTACTGGCTGAACTGAGAATGTTACTTGTGTTAGATGTGGTATTGGATTTTGCAGTTGATGAGAACCTTGTATTTGTGACTGGCATGCCAGATTATATCAGGCTGGCTCATATTTTTCTTTAGTTACTACAATGATACCCATTGGCAGAGGAAGAGAAGTGCGGGGGGAGCGCACCGCCCCTGACAGTCCGATCCCGCTGGGATGCCATCGCGGCTGCCTCCCCACCCGTGCTGGGTGCCATGCCCCCGCCTGCTCTCCATCCCCCAGTGCCAGAGCATGAAGCTCTGCCACTGATGATACCCTCATTGCCTAGAGCAAAGCTAAATTACACACACATTTGTGGGGCATATGCAGAAATTCAACTGAACTGAGCTTCTCTGTTGCGTAACCCATAAACTTACCTGTGTGACACTGATGAAGCTATTCTGATTTTTGAATCAAATTTTTAACCCAGTAGTCAAATTTTTAACCCAGAGTCTCAAACAGGTGATAATGTGTTGGGGTGGCATTGCTGTGCTGATTACTGACTAACAAAAGTTCAAGCCTTTGAGGCCAGTTATGCATCTGGATGATTTTTTTTTTTTAATGCCCTGTTCTCTTCAGGAAATTCTACATAAGAGTGCCATTCTTAACATTAGTTCCAGCAGTTGTGTCTGATGTGAGAAGTAGCCAATTGTTGTCAGCTGGTGTAGAGCTCTGTTCAGCTTCCTGCTTGAGGAAGCTGCAGAGTAATTAATATGGAAGGATGCAGTTGCTGAAGATGCACTGAAACTAGTGTCTATTATACAGAGCAGCTGCCAGGACCTATACTTCTATTTCCTTCCAGTTTCTATAGTGACTGAACAAGGAGTCAGTGCTGCTGTTTGCTACTTGAGGTCGTGCTCCACCTTTTTGTCTCATGCTTACAGCTCATGCATAACAGTTTCTTTTCACATACGCACCCTTGTGAACAGAAATGAGCATCCATTCAAGTGTTTGTCTTTCTTTCTAAGTAACAGTTGTTTCTGAACGGTGAAAAGTGCCCTTTGAACTCATTGAATCTCTTTATATTCAGAACCAAATTCAGCATATTCTCTATTGGGTGATTAGTAACTGTTCTGCATGGCGTCTGTGTTTTTCTCTCAAAGTCTACTCTGTAGATGGCTCTCCTATCGCAAGGACATGTGGTAGGTAAGCAAGAGAGAGATTTATGTAACATAACCCAAGAAATGGAACCAAATGAGAAAAGATATGTGCTATCTTGCTGCCTCATAATGCTAAGTGAAAGATAGCTATGTACTCTGGGATAGTCACTGCTCATCTGTGCATAGTAATAATTGTATGGCACTGTCATGTGTTCAAAGGGCTTCACATGCTTTAGCTAGCTGTGGTCCTTAAAACAACCCCCCTGTAGAACTGTTCACAGTAAATGGGGGAGCGGAAGTTGAGAGAAACTGGCTTGCCAAAGACCACCTAGTGAGTTAATTGAAGAATCAAGACTCATGCAAGGGATTTCTTTAGCCACTACACAGTTTCATTCTGCGCACATATGGTATATTACAATTCAGAATAATCATCTTTTTTAATTCTTACTTAGGTATCGAATCAACCTGGTGGCTGCAAAACAAAAACCCGAGATTAAAAAGGTACTGCAGATAAGTTGCTTAATGGCAAATGCTTGGATTGGAACAAATATATTTAATGGCTCCTTCATCTGAAATTTAATATAATTTCACTGACAAAACTTGCCTCCCTTATCTTTCACATCTCTTCTCCCATATGAGATGTTCTTGGACTTCAAAGATTCAATGCATATCTAGTCAAAGAGAAAAAACTCTTCTACAGACTTTAGGAAAATAGATGGTTCTGTGTGATTCTAATGGCCAACTACCGTATATGGTGCTGGAAATGGGGTGGGAGGGGGACACCCACACAAGTAAGCTTTATCCCAAGTCATTGTTTCTTCTTGATCTTGTTTCCAAACTGCCAGTAGGTGGCTTGCAAATTTTATGCATCTGGTTTAGGTATAAACATAACATATATCTGACTTCATTCAGTGTCAAGCAAAGATTCAACATGTTTTCCTTTTCTTCTCTCCCCCCCACCCCCCGCTATGCTTCAGTCATAAGTACCAGGCAGTCCACAATATTGTACACACATGGTGGTGCTACATTTGTCTTAGTGGGTCACAAGCTGCTCAGGCTTGATGTTTAGTTGATTGATCAATGGTATTCTGTAATGATTATGGAGTGGACAGGATGCATGTTGGAGCGATACTTCTTGCTAGTAATTGATGATGTGGAGCTATCATGAACCTGAAACATTGTCTAGATTGTCATGTTATGTCTTACCATGTGCTGCTGCAGTTCAAGTTCAGCCACCAGATTTGCCAGGAATACAACCGATATCTATCAACCATAGTTGGGTATCTGTGGACCTCACAAGCATTCCAGGAGTCCCCCTGCCCTCAGGGGATTCAGCTGGACCCAGAAGTGCTGGAGATGACAAGGGTGAAGGACCACAGGAAGGGCTTCAATGTAGTTTTCCACCCTGCACTGATGGGATATGCTATGCTCTTCTTGAAGAAGGTGAGGAGAGCAGTTTGCATTTTTCAAGTAGAATCATTTCCAATTATTTTTAACACTGTAATACTTGAGGACTACTGAGCATCAGTGTGTATGATCACTGTTAGTTACGATGATGTCTGCATTGTGTCCTTTAAAACTCCAGTCTTTGGCCTACCTTCTACCATGCCATATAAAGTCAAGCTGTACATGGGCTTATTAAGAATAAGTACTGTGCAGGGAGGAATGGGGAGACCTGGGTTCACCACTCCATTTAACCGTGAAAGCTTAGTGCCAAGCCTCTGGCAACAACTAGCAGAGACAAAAGAGATCTCCTTGCAGTTCCAAGTCATTCTGGCTCCATTCTTTGGAACCCCAAGTTTAAAGGAAGGCTTCTCCTCCTCCTTGAATCATTACCAACTCTCTTCCTTAGAAGTGTACTAAAGATATGGGATATGGAAGGGGCCATACCTCAGTGGTAGAGCACATGTTTTTCATGCAGAAAGTCCCAGTTTCAAGCACTGGATTCCCCACATACGACAGGAAAAGACTCTATGTCTGGAAAACTGGAGAGTGGTTGCAATCAATGTAAACAATACAGAACAAAATGGACCATTGGTCTGTTTTGGTAATATAGCAGCTTCTTGTGGGGGCTGAAAAATTTGACTTCACCTCAGTCTTGTTTGTTCCTTTTTTCTTCTTTTTTTAAAGCAAGTTTCCAGCCTTTGCCATTGCAAAAATATGCCTGAGTATTTGGGCAATGTCTGGTGAAGTATAAAACCAAAGGAATTGCCAGATGAAGTTCCAGGTTCATCAGTAGGTGCACTCTCTACTGTCAGGGTAAACAGTACCCCCTGTCTGTTTTTTTTTTGACCAGCAGTTCTCAAAATGGGAGACCAGCCTCCTATATCTGGTCTGGAAAGCTTCCAGGAGCTACTACTGCTTTATTTCCAGGAAGCAAACTGTTAGCAGCTACCCAAATCAGTGTGCAGGGAGTACCAAACTTCAGTACAATTCTTCGTTGCAACAGAAGACATTGTGATACAATTTATTATACCTGTTGCCCCTTCTGTGGATTCATTTTCATACCACAACCAGACCTCTTTCTTTGATCTGCTTGTAACTTTGTCCATAACCAGGCTTTTTTCTTTCTCTTTTTCTTTGCTTCATCGGCCTTTTTTAGAAGTTTAGTAGGCTTGGTTCAGGAACCTGCACCTTATTTGTTTCTGATTCCATTTTCTTGATATGTCTGCCTCTGAAACATTGTTTTCCAAGCTTTTTTGTGTGTGTCTCCCTGTGGTATCTAAGTATTTGCCCACAGCTTTTTAAAAGTAGCATAGAAGGTAAAACTTGTCCCCAGTGTAAGCTTTTATTTCATTGGGCTTCAGTGAAAGTGGAAGCTGAACTTGGTGCAGCTCTTTGGTGCAGCTTTTTGGGCTCTGGACCTGGTAACAGCATGCTCCTACTCAGGCAGCTTTACTGATATCCAAAAACTTAAGCTGCCTTATACCAAGTCAGATCATTAATCCATCTGTCAGTATTGTTCGCGTTGCCAAATTCTCTAGTGTCTGTTTCCTACCCCTACCTGGAACCAGAGATTGAATTGGGATCTTCATGCAAAGCATGTGCTGTTCAACTGAAGCGTGGCTTCTTCTCTAGGAGATGATGTGGTCTTCTGCCTTTGGAAGACATACTAGACTGAAATTTGCTGTTCAGTTCACCAGAGAGTGCTGATGTACAACTGAAGATTAGCTGATAGCAAAATTATCAGAGCCATTTTCTCCCCAGGCAACACTGGTATGTGTTTGGCTGCTTCTTTCGATGGACTTCCATGTGTTGAACCGAAAGAGCAGTGCATGCTGTTTCAACCTGTACAGGCCCACTACAAAATGTCAGAGATGTGAATTTTTCAAGACCTATCATGTAGTAGTTTTGTGGAGCAGCTCTGAGGCATTAGTGCTGTCCAAAAGGCATTTAGTGTTTCAGTTGTGCCATGTCATCTTCAGGAAGGCTAGTCTGAGGCTGATTCTAATCTCTAATAATTTCAAATAACTCTTCATTTAAAAGCTCTAGTCTTAGAGAACCATTAATTTCTAACACCTTTCTTCCCCCCCCCCCTTCAGATGCAACCAGAGGACACAACCCTGAACTTCAAATTCATTCGGGTAAAGTGGCATGCTTGACAAAACGCTATGTTTCTTGGGAAGCTGGTTGTCAGTTGGAGCTGGGATTTGGGGCACTGCCACAGAAGAAGGAACAACTAAAATGTCGAGAAAGGGGAGGGGTTAGGAGAGGGTACCTTCCAACTCTAGAATTTTGTGCTTCTGTGACAAGGCTGATAACCTGTGCTGCTGAGGAACCTACATCTTCTAGCTTTGTCCACCATGTATTTTCCCATGAAAAGGAATTGTTCAGTAGCAAACAGTTGGTACCACATATCTGAATGTGGCAAGTACTACACCTGAAAAAGTTTTTATTTCTGGTCTGAAAATGGAACTGGCATAAAGATGCAACTGTTCCCCAAGGCTAGGGGATCTCAGTTAGGTCTCTTTGTTGCTTGGTTTCCAGTACCAGTTGGAATATAAAATTTCAAAGAGGGAATTCCGGCATCAAGAGATGTTCATTCTTTGTAGGAGCTCTCCTCTACTGCAAAGAGGTATGCCCGCTCAAAGCTAATTGAAACTGCCCTATGTGAACTGGCTCATGAAGAGGCTGCATGTTGATAGCTTATTCCTCACCACAAAGACCAAGTTTGTGTCACAGCATATTAGCATCATGGGTATTCTGGGCTTTTGCAGTGTGGATTGGTCTGCAAGTTCAGGTGATGGAGAGCTAGGGTAGGAAATGAGAGGACACTTTGTGGCCCAAAAAAGAAAAAGCCATTGTATCTGAAGAGATTTAACTCCTAATGCTTTATTTGCAGGGGGCAAGGTGGGGATGGTACCAGGAATTTCTCTACTCCCAAGGATTACAAGGCCTGAAGCTTTTCATCGAAAGTAGCATTTGCCATGCTCCTCAAGAGAAAGTAAGGCATTAATGGAAACAATAGACTGATTCTTACAGTCTGTTATGAACTATCAAGCTATTCTTCAGAAAATAAGAGGAATATTTTTTAAAAAATTAAAATATGTCTTTATTAAAAGATTTTAATGAGTAACAAAAGTGCATTTTAATGAGTAACAAAACTGTTTTCAGACACCATGATAATTTCTGGTCTGTGACCATAATAAATCAATTCATTTCAACATTGTGATATATCAAAATATTGTGATGTTTAGCTGGTGATTTATCGTGATGTTGAAAACTTATATGTTTTTAAGGAAAGAGCTGGTGCTGTGTAGTTTTTACTGTAATAATCTGTATGTTTTAAATAAATAGTGTTTACGTGTGTTTTATGTTTTTCTCCTGTTTCTGTTTGAGCAAGATGATCCCTGTCAGGGAAAAAGGTAGGGTATGATTAATAATTATTATTATAATTTTCACAGAAATGTCCCTTTTTGAGCTATCCCTCTGTTTTAATTTCCTAAATAAACTTGTTTATTGAGCACTGCAATCATAATTGGCAGCACTTGAATGAGAAACAAAAAATTCAAAAGGATAACCATCTTTAAAGCGGCTACGCGATCTGACTGATAAATTTACATCTTTCCAAGATCTACAATCCCATCATATCTGTAAAAATAATGATGTGAAGCCGTCTTTCTTTACAGCTGATAGATTATTATTTATCTGCACTCCCAAATATTTTATTACTTCATGGCAAATTTTAAAACTCATCCGTTTTTGAATGATTGGTTAGAGGAAATGCCCATATACCGTATATACTCATGTATAAGCCGACTTTTTCAGCACATTTTTATGCTGAAAATGCCTCCTTCAGCTTATACTCGAGAGAGGGTCCCACCTGAGCGCATTTCCAGCAGCCGCTCGCTGTCAGTGGTGGTGGAGGAGGAACGAGCAGCCTGAAAGCAGCCATTTCGGGCTGCTTCTTCTTCTGCTGCTGCCACCTGCCTCTGCCTCTCGGCAGCACCCTAGATAGGCAGGGGGATGGGAGGGGGAGAGAGAAGCCCCCTCTGCCATGTGTGCACACGCACTCTGGCCCACCAGCAGGTTTGTGGTGTGGTGAACTGGCTTATACTCGAGTCAATACGTTTTCGCAGTTTTCTGTGGTAAAATTAGGTGCCTCAGCTTATATTCAGGTTGGCTTATACTCAAGTATATACGGTACATTATTTCTGATTTGGATTTGTTGATTTTAATACTGTGTTTTACCACAATTACTTAGTTGTTTCATTAATACAGTCATTGCAGCTTTTGGATTGGATAGCATAATTGCTATATCATCTGCAAAAAATCATTACTTTGTGCATTTCCTTTTTATTTTTGTTCCTTTTATCTCCATGCTGTTGGTTCAATAGCTAACGGTTCAACTGAGAATGTGAACAACAACAATAACAACAACAACAATGTTATTATTTCTACCCTGACCATCTGGCTGGGTTGCCCCAGCCACTCTAGGCAGCTTCAAACATATTTAAAAACATAATGAAACATTAGAAACTTCTCAATACAGGGCTGTCTTCTAAAAGTTGTGTAGGCGTTCCACAGGGAGGGCGGTACTGCCGAGAAAGCCTTCTGCCTGATTCCCTGTAACCTCAGTTATCGCAATGAGGGAACCACCAGAAGACCCTCAAAGGAGGACCTCAGTGTCCGGGCTGAAAGATGGGGGTGGAGATGCTCTTTTAGGTATACAGGGCTGAGGGCATTTAGGACTTTAAAGGTTAGCACCAACATTTTAAATTGTGCTTGGAAATGTACAGGGAACCAGTGTAGATCCTTTAGGACCGGTGTTATATGAGCCAGGCGACCACTTCCAGTCACCAATCTAGCTGCAGCATTATGGAGTAGTTTTGTTTTTTAAAAATTTTTCAATACAAACAACAATCGCAAAAGACACATACAACAAAAACCATAATAACACTAATAACACAGTTTAACAATTCAGATTTGCATACACTAATATACCTATGACTATACCTTTTAAACAATATTTTCCCGCCTCTCTCTCCTTCCCCTACTTCCCACCACTTATCCGCCTTATCACTTAAATATTCCTTCCAGATTTCTTCATATTTATTCATTCTTAATTTGCGTCGACATGCAATTCGTTCGTATGTAGCTAATCTGTCCATATTATCAATCCATGGGAATTCCCCCTCCTCCTAGAAAAGCCAGCAGAAGCCGCGCAGCCCCTTTAAAGCGCGCACGGCTTCTGCGGGCTTTTGCGGGAGGTGGGGGCTGGTGGTGGGGGTGCTTTCCCCCACCACCAGCCTCAAAGCCGGGTCGGGGAGCAGCGCTAAGGCGTCACGCGCCTTCCCGCTGCCCCCCCCCAGCTTGTGGGGCTGGCGGTGGGGGGAAGCGCTGCTTTCCCCCACCGCCAGCCTCAAAGAGCAGACTCTCCTGGCTTCAGCGAAAGCAACGAGAAGCCTCCGGAGCGCAGGCTTCAGAGACTTCGTGTTGCTATCGCTGAAGCCAAGGAGCCTGCACTCGCCCCATAGGACGCACACACATTTCCCCTTCATTTTTGGAGGGGGAAAAGTGCGTCCTATAGGGCGAAAAATACGGTAACTTGTGAATGACTTGTTGAAATAAACAGTTGCATTTGTGAATTGGTGTCATATCACTGCAGACCCTGTAGATGGAGCTGTAGCACTGTATTAGTGCTTGAACTGTCATTGTGCATGTTCAGGGAGTTACACTTAGCTTTCATTTATACAGATATATATAAAAAAACATGTAGATACATTTATGAAAGTGTTTAAAAGACTTAAGCATAGCTGCATTTTCAGAAAAGATAAAAGTTGGTACAAAGTACATAAACACATATATTATTCAAGTTCAGAAAAGATCGACATTTTATAGTTTGGTACAGGATAGAAACATGGGTGAGAGAAAGGAAGGGATTGACCTTTATTGATATTTATTAATACTTATTTTCTTATAACAGTATCATCTGCATACTGGTGAACACCCGGTCCAAACCCCCTGATGATCTCTCACAGTGGCTTCATATAGGTATTAAAAAGCATGAGGGAGAGGACAGAGCCCTGAGGCACTGGCGGAGGAAGAGGAGTGCGGGGGGAGTGCACCGCCCCCCGGCAGCGCAATTCCAGTGGGGTGGCATCACTGCTGCCCCCTGCGCTGGGGCGCCACACCCCCACAGGCAGCGCACCACACCGCTGCGGGTGGTGCGCCAACCCCCTCACCTGTTCTCCACCCCCCCTGTGCTGGAGCATGAAGCTCCGCCACTGCCACTGCACCCCACAAGTGAGCTCCCAGGGGTCCGAACACTCATCCCCCAACACAGGCCAATCTGCCATGTTCAACCAAGTCTCTGTTACACATGGCAGGTCAGTTCCTCCATCCACGGTCAGGTTATTGATGGCAGTAATCCTGGGAATGATTGTCTTGTGAATCATTGTCCTGGCATTGCGCAGCAGCACCTTAAGGTCATGTGGATACCAGTATCCCTTCCAGTCAGGATCAGACCCAGAGGCAGGGATGGTTTTCAAATGACGACTAAACCTCCCTCCTCGGTAATGACATGGTCTGGTCCTAACATAACTCCTCCTACCTGTGATCACTGAGATTGAGTATCCCAATGCACACACCCTTCCCCCCGTGGAACCTGCACCACCCTGTCCCTCTGCCCTTAAAATAACTAATTTAATGTAAAATGGTAATCTAAAATACAAATTAAAATTAAAATAACTCCCAAGCTAAAACACTTTAAAACACCCCAAAGTTAAAACTCCATCCTCATTAAAACAGTAACTTTGGCACAAGGAGGTTGGCCCACACCCTCATCCCACCCCCGAAGTGCCAGCTCCCAAAAGGACAACCCCCTTTCCTGGTGGCCCCTCTCCCAGGGCAGGCAGGCTTTCTAGAGCTGCCCCAGCATCTGGTGTACACCTAGCTGGGGCAGCAAATGTTCCTGATGCTGCCTGCCTGCCCATAGTCCTGGTCCTTGCAGGACTCTGCAGTCCCCTTGAGTGAGGGGAGTGGGCAACCCCCCAGCAGCAGCAGCTAGTCCTCCTGGTGGGGAAGATGGCAGTCCCCAGGGCTGCGAAAGAGGGCATACTTGTTAACACACACCCCTTGCAATGGAGAAAGCTTAAATTATATCTCACTGAATGAGCCCTTTTCTTGTATGAATAGCCTTTTTTATCTGTAACTGGGCTAATGTTTCACTTGTGCTGAATTAAACCATCAAGATAAATGGTGAAATAATAATAAAATTAACCAGTGCTTATTAAGGAGGGGTCATGTTCCCTTATTCCTTTTGAAAACAATAATAATAATAGTAAGTAACAAGCAATGTGTAAAATGAGAAATAACTAAAAATAGCAGCATCAGCAGTTGACTGGCATTAAACACATACAAAAGAGAAACTTGTATCTGCCAGAGAATGTGAACTACTGTTCTTTTTAAATTATTACCAAAAAATTCTAGTCCCCAGAGCTGAAATAGCTGGCAGGGCTTAATCGGTTCCAGTGCTTGTTGAAATTTTGTCTTTGTCTCTTCAACTGAACTCTTCAAGTTCTCATTCATCCTTCTCTTAATCAATAATCACTTTCCTTCTTATTATTACACATTCTGCAACCTGCCCAGTATGTGGGTCAAAATAAAGTACTTTCAATTCATATAGTGCTGCTCCTGTTTGCCTAACCTGTTGATTTGGCTCAGAGTGTAGAATCTGGCCCTCCCTGGTACGTGACAGTATTTTGGCAAAGGGAACAAAGCTTGAGCAGCCTTGGAAGACAGAGCATGTTCTTGTCCTTAGCAATCCAGCAGCAACATATAATCAAGCGCATGCTTTCACCCACACATAATAGTTGCTGATAACCAAGTGTGCATCACTGGAAACCGTGTGCAGATGCTGTTCATGTTATGTTCTTCACCTCCTAGTGGGGGTTCATTATATTGTAATCAGGAAGGCACCAGCAGCTGTTCAGCTGTAAACCACATTATGTTGCTGAAAAATCTGTTGCTGGAAAAAAAACAAAGTTTTTTATGGAGAAGTGACTGCCCATATTTGCCAGTTTGTCACTGCACAACTAGGCTGTTAAACTGCTATTGTTCCAGAGGTGGCAGCCAGAGTGCTGAGCTGAAGATGTATTATGCCTCCCAGCAAGCATTACTGTTGCATGTTTTCCATTTGTTTCATTGGACTTCTAGTGGTTGACTTGCAGCAGCAGCAGTGTCTGGAGAATCAGACCCCTCTCTTTTCCAGTATTCATTGTGTACACACTGCATCTGGGAAATGGGTTAACTCTGCCCTAAGACATCTACAGACTGTTTTCCAAAGCCATGCTATGCTTTCCATCTGTTAATCAGTCTCTGTGCAGGGAGGGGAAAGATGTGTTTTTATCTTACTGAGGAGTGCCTCATCTTCCTCTTGGACAGACCTTTCCAATCTGTTTAGCCTTGTCGTTTCAATGAGTTAACGATTTCTCCCTTTTTTTCTTTCTGCTGGAATGGCAAAAACTACTTGCT